CCTGCCCTTTGGGTGCCTGCAGACCATTCGAGGCAGCCAGCCCAGGCCGGAAAGTCTCTGTCAGGCCTGCAGAACCCATAGGCCCGCTCACTTCTGTTATGGGCCATTTCAGGGATGGCTGCTGTCCTTTTCAGACTGAGGAAGGCCATGGCCCAGGCTCGTAGAGAACCCAGGCAGACGAGAGTCTGTGCCGTTTGGTCTCTACAGGGGCCAACAGTCCCTCAAGATAGACCTTGATTTTATTGATGGCTCCTGTCTGCTCTATGGCCTGTGGAGTTCATGAAGGTGAGGATGGTTAGCACAGGCACAGTCTTCGACCTGAGGGACCCCCGGAGCTGGGGCAGAGCCCCCAGGATGCTGACAGTGGCCTGCTGGGGGTTGTGGGCATTCCTGCCTGTCATCCCTGCGCCCCACCTCATGCTCTCCGTGATGGTGATCCCACCCCCCAAGGCTCCCGCTCCTCCTTGTCTGGCTAGGCCCCCACTCACTCACTCCTCCAGGCCCGTGTCCCCACCAAGAGCTGACCGCACAGTGGACTTCCGGCGACTCAATAACCACGTGTCTCAAAGAGCTTACAACCCCAGGAGTAGGAAAGATGCCCTCACAGCTCATTGCAACGGCAAGCGGAGTGGGTAGGAATGGCCGTGGGGCTCCACACTCAGCAGCAATCAAGTTTGGCAGGGACTTTGTGGAGAACGTTCCACTTGAATTGCCACTTGACTTCGTCAGAGGTCATCAGTTGGAGAGGAGACAGAAGGGTGTGCAGGGCAGGGCAAGTGGTGCCATGGGTGGACCAGTGCATGGCCCGGCTGAAAGGGCCAGGGCAGGAGAGGAGCTGGAAGGTCCTTTGGCTTCCAACCAAAGGAATGCGGCCTTTGGCTTGATGGGGGGCTGGGGATTGAAACAGGGGACGTGGCTTTCTGTAGGCCAGTGCAGCTTGGAGAGAGAAAGAGGGCCAGCCCTTGAACCAGGGAAGGTGGTGACCCAGAGCAGGATGGAGACAAGCCACGAGGCTGGAGGGAGACCTATGAGGTGGTAGACAGAATGTGGGGCCTACTTGGTGGGGGATGAGGGAGAGGGAACGGGCCACAGCTGCAGGCAGGGCACCAAGGGGTGTGAGGCACAGAGGGCCAGCAGGGCCAGCCAAGGGGCTGTGGCAAGGGGCAGGAGTGCTTTGTGGCCCGGCAGAAAGCCAGGCCTCGCCTCCCTGCCCCACCTCCTTACCATGAGTCACCAAGGGCCCTGTCGGCCACACCGATGACAGCACACCAGTTAGGAGCAGCTCAAGGACCTGGCATGGCTCTGTCTGGGCCACCACTATTGTTTAATGGAGGGCAGGGCCACACTGGGGGGCAGGGGAAGGGAGCAGGAGGGGGAGGATGGAGCCGATCTTCGGTGAGCCCTGGTGGGGTGGGGAGGCTCTGCCACTGGCTTGCAGGGTGCCCTTGCTCCAAGGAATGGGCATTTCCGTCGGGCCATGCAGGGCGTGCTGGTGTGTGAGGGTATGACCTCAACCAGGATGAGCCGCTGACTCCCAGAACCAGCCCAAGAGCCCACCCAATTACGGGCCATTCCCTCTGTGGCTCCTTGGAGCCCACCCATGCCTTGTGGGTGGGGCTGAGCACCTTCCAAACCCAAGTCTTCGCCAAGTGGGTGTAGAGGCAGAAAAGAGAAAAGGATTCCAAAGGACCAAAATTGTTCATCTGGCTTCCCTTTTAGAAAGAAACCCTGTGGAGTCCCTAGGCGGCTCAGTGGGGGCCATGCAGGCACATAGCTGGCATAAGGTCTCAGAATGCAGGCCGGTGGCCAGCCCACCAAGGGCATCAGAGCCTGGGGTGAGTGCCGGCCACTCCCCTCAGCCTGGGAAGGGGCCTCCTGCCAGGGCTGGTGTGGCCTGGGAACTGTGCTCAGGGACAGTTGAGTCACGTTTCTGCTGGATGTGTCCCCCACCACACACACAGCCCGTCGGGTGGTCCTTTCTCAGCAGCCCTGCCTACCTGGGGCCTAGAAGACAGCCCAAGGCCAGGAAGCCAACTCACAATGGGGGTTTGTGCCTGTTGGTGGGCCCGAGGCTGGCCGGAGCTGGTGTCTACACAGACGAGCCCCATCCTCTCCTCCAGCAGCCAACAGATCAGGGGGCTGGGGATCCAGAACCCAATCCTGCCAGTTTCACTAAGTTCCTGGGAATGAAGAGACCCAGAGCACAGAGCTCAGGGTCAGAGATGGGAGCAGAGAGGGGGTCCCGGCAGGAGCCCTATCCTAAGCAAAGGGGGGAAAGAACCTGGGAAGGATGAAGGCATAGGGTGGAGGGGACAGATGAGTGCGGGTGACAGTCAAAAGCTGCCATCACTGCCTCCAGCGGTTCCTGAAATGGCTCACCAAGGCTTGTGGGCAGAGGCAGGAGACCTGGGTCTCCTCGTTGCTCTGCCACTTCGCCTGGCCAAGCCTCGGTTTCCTGTGCTGGCAAATGGGAGAATGATTTCTGCCACAGTCACCTGGGTGGGTGGGGTACGTTCACACAGCACCCCAGAAGGAGCCCGCCCTGCCTCACACACTGGGAAAGCTTGGCTTCCTTCAAGTCCTGGGTGCTCTGCTGCCGCCCTCCCTGAGCTCAGAGTTCACACCATCAGGCAGCACAAGGAGGGCAGCTCGTCTGTCATCTCCCGGCTTCTGGCCCACCCGCCTGTCCGTTACCTGTTACCTGCCTTCTGCCTGGTATCAGAACACTCTCCCCTCCAGAAGAATGGCTCACTCCTCCGCCTTGTTCCGGCCACTTCTCAACGGCCACTTCTCAACGGGCTCTTCCGAGAGGGCTTCCCTGACCCCCACTCCCAACTGAAACCATGCCCGCATCGCTTTCTCACCAGCAAGGCCTGAGAGCGCAGCAATCGGTTCTGTCCTGTCCTGTCCACCCTCTGTCCCCAGTGCGGATGTAGTAAATGCTCTGGAAGCGTGGGCGGTGGGGAGATGTGTGGGGGTGGGAGAGGATAGCGTGTTTGCGGGTCTGCCATCTTGTTCCCACGTCTTCTTGCAATGAAGCCTGCTCCACGTGGAAAGTGTCTAGAGAGTTAACACTTAGGTGCCCAAACTTGTACAATGTGGATCACTTTGGGTGGCCTTTTCTGAGGCGCCGCTCTGCCTCCCAGACCTGGCGAGCAGGGACTTTCTAAGTATATGCACTTTTTCTTGACAGTGTGGGGCCAGCGTCTAGAGGAACTGAGTCCCCCACCAGATTCCGAGCCCCCTCAGGGCTGTGGGGGTGGGGAATGACCCTTGTTTCCCAGAAACCCTGGTTTCATCCCCTGAGGGCTGTGGTGCTGGGCTGGGAGTGGGAAGCAGGGGCTCTCCTGAGAGCAGAGGCCACGGGGCTCTGGGCTATTGTGTTTCCATGGGCACTTTTAGATCAGAAGCCTGGATTAGTGGCCGAGTTCTGCTTCCAAGAGGATTCTTCTGAGCCAGGAGCCTCCCCGAAGGTGAAGGATCAGGCCCAACTGAGCCATGTTGCTGGGAGGCCCCTTTGCTGGTGTGAAGGCCAAGGCCACGTGCACTGAGACTAGTTCAGTCCTGGGAGTTAAGTGCATAGCCTTGAGGGATGTTTCCACTCAGGCGCAGGAGAAACTCGGGGCCCGGGACAGGGAGGCCCAGCAGGCCGCATGGTCTGCGCCGCCGGACCACGTGGAGGTTGCTTGGGCAGGTGGGGGCAGTGGCAGCAGGATGTGGGGACAGCGAGAGGAATAACAACTCCATGATTTTCTGCGGAGGGGTAAGGTGGTGTGGCTGGCTGCTCTCAGTGTGGGGGGCCCCTGGCTCCTTTGTCATCTGCAGGGCAGGAGGGTGTGGAGGGGAATGGGTGGCACCATGCTACGGGGCAGGGCGATGGAGAAGTTGCCAGTGACTTGTAGCTGCTTTCCACTTTCTCCTCCACCCCTCCTCTTCCACTCCCTTTCTCCCCTCCTTCCCCCTTCCCTCTCTTCTTCCACCCTCCTTCCCTCTCTCCCCCCCCACCTTCTTCCTTCCCCCTCTCTCCCCCCTCCCCCTCCCTCTTTTCCCCCTTCTCTTTCCCTTCTCCCCCTCTCCTTCCCCCCTCCCCCTCGTCCTCTCTTCTTCACCCTCCCTCTCTTTCCTCTCCCCTCTCTCTCCCCCTCCTTCCTTCTCTCCCCCTTCTTCCCTACTTCTCCCTCTCCCCTCTCTTCCTTCCCCCTCCTTCCCCCTTCCCTCTCTCCCTCCCCCTTCTCTCCCTCTGCCTTCTCTCCCTTCTTCCTCCCTCTCCCTCCCTCCCTCCTCTCTCCCTCCTTCTGGGCCTCCTCCTTTCCTTGCCCTGGCCCCCCAGGTACCCTCAGGGAAGCAGAGACACCCTGTGCGCCAAGCCTTGACCTGGCGCCCAGCTGGCCCTATCCATGGGTGGGCCTGCTCCCTGGACCCCCACGCAGCCCTGCGCCTGAAACCGTGAGCTGCAGAGGTGGCGCCAGAAGATTGCCAGCACTGCTGCTGGGGACTGATAGCATGCCCGCCGCACAGGGCGAGTCTGAACCAGGCAAGAGCGGGGAGGGCAACAGAGCAGATGAGCGAGAAGCTCGAGGTGGGGCCCGCCTGGGAGAAGAGTGGCACAGATCACTCACCCGTGCCAGGGCGAGACCGGCCACTAATCCATCCTAACAAGTTGCCCCTGCTTCAGTGTGGGTTCCCAAACGGACCTGGGGGGCAGTCAGAGCCTTCACATCCCAGTTGGACTGTGCTGGCAGGGAGGCATGGATGCTTCCTCCTTCCTCACCTAGGCGAGCCCTCCCGGCCTGGGTGCTCACGGGGGCAGGACTAGGGTGGGGCCTGGCAGGTGGGCCTGGCAGCAGGTGAGGGCCACTGGCCCAGCCTGGGAGGTGAATTTTGCTCTCAGTCAGTCATGGCTCAGACTAAGTACAGATTTGCAGAGAATATTCTAGAAGAGGCGAGTTCAGTCTTATCTCAACTGCTCCCCTGGCTTCTTCTTGCCTCCTTTTCCCCAGGTATCTGTGCTTAGCTTCTTCCCCGTCGCCTCTGCCACGCCTCACCCCGGCACTGGGACCTCAGGTAGCCACCTGCCCCTAGCTGAGGCCGCGCCTGGGAGGCGGCCCAGCGCCCTCTCCTCCCAGTGCAACAGGCAGGATGGGCGACATGGCCAACAGTTCCATTGAGTTCCACCCCAAGCCCCAGCAGCAACGGGAAGCGCCCCATGCAGGCGGCTTTGGGTGCACACTGGCTGAGCTGCGCTCCCTCATGGAGCTCCGAGGGGCCGAGGCGCTGCAGAAGGTCCAGGAAGCCTATGGGGATGTCAGCGGGCTCTGCAGGAGGCTGAAGACCTCGCCCACAGAGGGTAAGTCTGCCAGCCCGAGCTGCCCACCGGGGACTCCAGGCCATGCACCACCTGACCTTCCAGGGACTCCTGAAGACGGCCCTACCCCCAGGGCAGGCCCGGCAAAGACTAGGGGCTACTGCAGCAGCTTCCTGGGGGCACTCCTGACCCTGACAGTGCCCTCCCTGGGCAGCCAGTGCCCCCTGAGTGGGAGACGCGCTGCGTGGAGTGAGGAGGTCGCCCTCTGGGCAACCTGGAGTCCTCAAGGAGCTGTGGCCTGACCCCTGCACCCACACCTCCATAATCAGCAGCTCCCCAGTCTCGTCTCCTCTTTGTATTAAATAGAAACCCAGCAACAGAGAAGGGGAAGGAAGGAGACAGCCCCTGCAGGTGGGATGGCCTCAAACCAATAGCCCAGAAGTTCTTCCGACAAATCGGTGGGGCAGCCCTCCCGTGGATGGAGGAGGAAGGCATGGCCCCTGTCTGCGTGTGCCAGGGTCCCTGTGTGCTCAGCCCTGTGTCCAGTTAAGGGGGATGGGAAAAGGAAGAAGGGGTACAGGGTGCAGGCCCTCTGAGGGCTTGCATCGCAGGGGCCTCTCCTTGGGAACGGAGGGGACGGCCCGGGGATGGGAGGCCTGGGAGGGAGCACCCAGAGTGCCCAGTGGAGGTGGCACTGGCCGCAGGCTGTCCCAAAGAGGCACAAGCCTGAGGCAGTGTAGATTTGAGATCTGCTGCAGGAGCCTCTAGGGAGCCTGGGACATGTCCTCAAGGAGGTTCTAGGGGTGGAGGCCTCACTGCCATCTTGGGTCTCCGCCTCTGCCCTGTAGCCTTTTTCCCCTGCTCTGGAGGCAAACTTCTGCCCTGGCCTGCACCAGCCTTCCCTGGTCCCGCCTCCTGGGGCTGCTGGGATGCCGGGACCACCAGGAGCCAGGCTTGGCCCCAGATTCCAGGAGCCAGAGCATTTTCTGGCCCAGCCAGCCCCTCCCTGGCAGGGTTGCTAGGGCTGTCCCAGCCCAGTGCCAGGCCTGTTCCCGGCCAGCGCTGATTGATATCAGCTCCTGTCTCAGCCGTCACACCTAAATCCACTCAGGGCCCTGGCTGTTGCCCTAGTCTCCTGTTCCCTGGCCCCGTCTGTCTGCTGGTGGTGCATGGGCTGGAGCAGGCCGTGGAGACGGCCCACTCGGGAGGAGGTGGGCCTGAGGGCCGGGTGAGAGGGTGCCCACCCGGCCAGGTCAGGAACTTGGGGGCTGTCTGAATCTCTCTTACTTTGTGCTCTAAAGGGACTCAGCCTGGTATGGCATGTCACTGGGGCAGATGGCTTGGCTCGGGGCCAGAGGATCTCTCTCCTTCCCTCCTCCTTGCCCACCCCCCCTCCCGGGATTTGGGGTGGGGGTGGCTGGGATGGAGGGCCACTTAGCCACAAGGGCTCTGGCCTCTCCCAGATAAAAGGAAGCAGATGGGCTTCAGCTGGCAGCTCCTTCCCCTGCCTGTCAGGCCTTGTTAAATATTTAAAATGTCAAGGCCCCTGGGAACCTGCCCGATTCTGCCACAGCAGCTCCGGAGCTCACCCGGTCCCTGTGGAGGGCAGGCATGGAGAAGGGCAGGTGCCCAGGTGGGTGGCTCGGCCCCAACAGAGGGAGCCAGCCAGGCCTCGTCTGCATCCCGAAGAATGAGCACTGCGAGGACCATCCTCCCTCTCTGACCCGGGGAGCCCTCCAGGTCTGGATGCCAGGAGCGGGTGACTCTGGCCCCCACAGCAAGCATGGGGTCTTCGAGTGCCTGCTGACTCGGCCCTGGAGTTCTCACCCAGAGCCCCCGACTCCTGCTCAGACACAGTGGCCTGAGCTGGTGGGAGGGGCCAGCTTAGCTGCCCCCCAGGCCTCACACCAACCCCCTGGCAAGGTGGACAGACTTGAGGGTGCCAGCAGAGTGGTGCTTTGGGGAGGGCAGGGAGGCCGAGGAAGTGCATGGTGTATTGGGGGAGGGGACTTTGTGTTCTCCTGGCAGTAAGTACAACAATGGGCTTGGCCTTTCTACTGATCCAAGAGGATTCCAGAAGCCAGGGAAGCTGAGTCTTAGGCCAGGCTCAGTGGTAGGCCCGCTGGCGGGACCCTGGCCCTTCCCCTGTCTGGCATCCACCGGCGGTCATGGAAAGGAGGGGCAGATTAGCCAGAGCCACACAATGTGGTCCTAATCCAATTTCGATGGCATCTGGCCTCTGCTCTGGGCAGGCTGCCCATCTGTGTCCATGCCAACCGGCCGGCCCCTGCCCCCGCACCCCAGACCTGGGCTGCCTTCGGAGGCCTGCTGGGCCAATGTGTGCTCAGAACCAGAGGGGCTGCAGCTGCCTTCTGCTCCCCACTGAGGGCTTCAGCGGCAGCAGCTGTCAGGACCCCGAGTCCACAGGAAGGCCAAGGCCTCAGGCTGGTCTAGGGCGAGGGAAAGAGAAGCATTGCTGCAGCATCAAGGGCAAATCAAGGCCAAGGGACAGGCTGAGGGAGGGAGGGAGGGAGGGAGCGAGTTCCTGGGGAAGGGACCCTGAGGGCCCAGCTACCCTTGGGGACAAGCTGGGTGTATGGAGTGGGGCGGGCAGGTTGCCAGGGGGACTGGGCTCTTTAGAGGGTGAGGTGGGGCTTCGTCCCTCTCGGGGCTCCAGATCAGTGCCCTTTCCCAGGGCAGGGGTACTGGAGGCCCTAGGTGCCTGGAGCCCCAGGGTTTGAACGCCTCCCTAGCACTGACCCCACCTTCCATGGCTCCTGTAACTCAAGGGCACAGGCCCCAGTCAGGAGCAGGGCACACGCCCTCAGCTAGGCCCCCGGTCCCTAGGAGCTGAGGTCCTGTGCTTCTCCCAGACACCCAACTGGGAAGCTGCGTCTCCAGAAACTTGAGCTGCAACTGGGTCGGGCACAATGAGGCCAGGGGGAGAAGGGCAGGGACAGCTGCGGCTCTGCTGGATAGGGAGGACAGCGTGTGGTCATCGCCTAGCCCAGGGGACATGCCAAAGCTGTGCCGGCTGCGGGCTTTTGCTCATCCGTCCTTCCACCTGGGACAGCCCCCCCTCCCCAGGAGCCATCTTTCCCTGCCCCGCGCACACTCACTCTCCTGCCTCCCGGCCTCCTTCTGCACCACGCTTAGCGCTGTCTTGTTCTTGAGTCGTCTGGGCCTGGTCTTGTGTGCCTTCCCAAGCTGGCTGGGCACAGCCCATGGGCTGGGACCTGGAGCCCTTCTGGTTGCCCCTGCCCCCACAGGAGGCAGCAAGAGTCACAGCTACTCAGGGCTGGGAACTGTAAGCTGCTGTCCGTCCACTAGGTGTCAGTGTGGGGCTGGACACTGGGGGCAGAGACGCGGGAAAAGCTGGGGTACGCAGCAGCATCAGGGGGAGGAGCGGGGGAGCATTGTAGATGGGCCTGGAAGGAACCAGAACCCTGAGGGCTGAGGGCAGGGCTAGGGGATTTTGTCATCCCATCTGCCTGCCTCTGGGGAAGGTGGCCAAGTGGGTATCCAGCCTTGGGAGGCAGTGGCCTGGATGCCAGTCCCATATGGAAGCTTCTGGTACCTCCAGGCATGGTGGGCCTGAGGAGATTCATGCTCTAGAGGCATAGACCCAGAAAGCCTGGGTAGGAAGTGGGTTGTCCCAAGAAGGAGAAGTAAAAGCCCAGCTTTCAAATGTGGTAGCCAGCCCCTTTGTGGGTGTTGATTCTTGAGCCCCCGTGTCGACCAGGCCCACCCTCCCTCCCCGCTCACACACAGCAGCTTGTCTGGGAAATGGAGGGGGCCTCCCATTGGTCAGGCCCCTCTCAGCCCCGCAGCCCTACATCACAGTGCCTGAGCTGCTCAGGCCACAGGGGGTCCCCCACTGGGACTGGCTTCTCCACCCTTTACCCTCCTTGTCCTCTGCCTGGCAGCCTGAGGACACCGTGGCAACAGCATGAACCACTGACAATTCCATAGCCTTATAGACATTCAGCAGCTGCCAGATGTGCAGCCCCACAGGACGGGAGGAGGCAGTGGGGGCCTGTGGACAGGGTGAGGACCCACGTTCCGTTCCTGCCCTTTGCCATGACCCCCAGCTCAGGGCTCTGGGTTGGCGCTGCAGCAGAGGCCAGGGAAGGGGTTAGGAAGGAGGCTTCTCTCTCTGAAGGACAAGCTGTGAGAATTCAGGGTGGGGGTAGTCCCTGTGCGTCTCTGGGATGCCATGGGTGCCAGGCCCATTCTCAGCAGGGTGAGCAAGACTGACAAGGTCTCTGGGCTGCTTGGGCCAACCCTCTGCCAGGGCCTGTCGGACAGTAAAGGCTCTGTGTCCTGCACACACGGTTTGACTTTGCCTGCCTCTTGGTGGCTCAGCATCTGTGAGGCTCCCACCATCCTGACCTGCGGTCCGATGGATGGGGCAGCAGAGGGGTCCTGAGCTGCAGTCAAGAGCCCCAACTCAAGCACAGGGCCCTTTCCCTCCTGGCCTCAATTTCCTCCTCTGGACCCTGGTGGGATCGGACAAGCACCTCCTGCTCCCTCATGGCCCATGTTGGGATCAGCTACCCGGGGCACAGCCGAGAGTGGGATGCCTCCCCCTGGCCTGCATCCCAGTCTCATGCCAGGCCCTGCACACCCTGAGAAAGCCTTCACTGGTCTCTTTTGCTTCTGTCTCTGGGTGACACTTGGCCATCCCTGGCCCAGCTGGGTTCCCTCTGGCCTCCCCCCACGTTGGGTATTAGCACTTTCCTTTACATCCCCCCTTCAGAGGGACCCGCTGTAGTCCCTAGACCTCCCCAAGCGTATCAGGAGGATGGTCCAGCCCTTCCTCGTGGTAGGGGCTCCACGCCGGTGCGTGGCCGCATGCCCACGCTGTCTAGGTGGCTAGAGGGGTCACACATGCACTCCTACATACATGTCCCCAGGGTTTTCAGAAAGGCTCTGGGCGCCAGGCCCGTGCAGTCCCCACCTTCTAGGAGCTTTCAGTCTAGAGGGAGACACAGGCATGCAGGGTGAGAAGGGGAGGATGGAGCAGGGTCGCGCAGGGCGGGAGCGGGGCCAGCCTTTCCCATTCTCTCCTCCTGTGCGTCTGCTCTCCGTCCCCACACCACGCAGGTCTGGCCGACAATGCCAGTGACTTGGAGAAGCGCAGGCAGATCTACGGGCAGAACTTCATCCCTCCCAAGCAGCCCAAGACCTTCCTGCAGCTGGTGTGGGAGGCCCTGCAGGATGTGACCCTCATCATCCTAGAGGTGGCTGCCATCGTCTCCCTGGGCCTCTCGTTCTATGCGCCACCCGGAGAGGAGAGTGAGGGTGAGGGGCAGGGCCCCGAGGGCTGGTGAGGGAGGACCTGGCAGGAAGAGGCAGGATGAGGGCAGCAGCACAGTTGGGCTGGCAGGAGGGGAGGGGTGGAACCTGAGACAAGGGAGGGTCACAGGATGTCCCAACCCCGGTGGCAGGAAGGAGCCGGTGGGAGTGACTCCTCTGCCACCTCTGTCCTTCCCTTCTGTCGTCGGTGCAGCGTGCGGGAATGTGTCAGCCGGGGCAGAAGATGAAGGCGAGGCTGAGGCCGGTTGGATCGAGGGGGCCGCCATCCTGCTGTCTGTAGTCTGCGTGGTGCTGGTCACAGCTTTCAATGACTGGAGCAAGGAGAAGCAGTTCCGGGGCCTGCAGAGCCGCATCGAGCAGGAGCAGAAGTTCACAGTCATCCGCAATGGGCAGCTCCTCCAGGTCCCTGTGGCCGCACTGGTGGTGGGCGACATCGCCCAGGTCAAGTATGGTGAGTGTGCCCATCGTGACCCACCCTGCGAAGGAAGCTCAGCTCCCGTCTCGGGGGGAGAGTGGGCCTTCTCGCCAGGAGCACGTGTGTCCTCATCTGCGGGAGGCTGGAGGTGGGGAGCATGGGCAGGAGGCAGAGCCCCAGGAAGTAGGCTGTCCCCACAGTCTGTTGAAGGCTTCCCCAGCACTGCAAGATGCTTCTGTTGTCCCCATTCCCTGGGAGCTGGATAACAGGGCTAGGGTGGGTGGATCCCCCCGGAAAGGAGGAGACTGAAGGAAGAGGGCCCCACATCCAGTGGGACCTGCCTTGGGGGAGGTGGGAGGCGTCAGAAAGAAAGGCTGCCGGGGCCCATTGCCTCTGGTTCTGGCCACCTGCTGGTCTTAGGAGACCTGCTGCCTGCCGACGGCGTGCTCATCCAGGGCAACGACCTCAAGATCGATGAGAGCTCCCTGACTGGCGAGTCGGACCACGTGCGCAAGTCAGCCGACAAAGACCCCATGCTGCTCTCAGGTGAGCCTTCAAAGGCCCTGGCCGGCGGAGCCCATGGGGATGCCAGGATGCGGCCAGCCGGCCAGCACCCTCTGAACCAGCCCAGCACTGAGGAGCCTTGGAAGCCATTTGACCTGGCAACCCCCTCAATGAAGGCCCTCCTGAGTAGCGCTTCTGGTTAGAGAGTCTGCAGACTTTGCCCTCCACAAGGCCAGAGTGGCCAGTGGGAGGCATGACAGGGGCAGCTCCAGCTGCCGGGGAAGGAAATGGGTCCTCTCAGCCTGGGAGGGCCACCTCAAGGTGGGGACTGGCTCTGGGTCTGTTTCTCCCTAATCCAGACCCTGAAAAAGAGCCAGTGGGGGCAGTGTTCCCTTTCTAGAAGGTTCTGCTTTAGCCCAATGTTTATCCCAGTGGCAAATGCAGTGTGGAACAATACAGAGGGGCTGGAGGCCCTTCCGGACCCTGTGAACAGCTCACCCCCTGCCTCTGGGCAAGTACCTGCTCCTGTGCAGGCCTCCGGGTCCCCTCCAAGCTGGAGATGAGGCTTCAGCCTAGGCTTAGGGTCAACACAGCCTCCAGGGACCTCCAGACACTGAGAGCCTGCTTCTGGGATTCCTGGGGCAGGCTGCAGGTGCCGAGCCTGCCTCCCACCTGGCGGTGAGAATCTCTGTCTCGGTCTCTCTGTGTTGCTATGCCAGGTACTCACGTCATGGAAGGTTCCGGAAGAATGGTGGTGACGGCCGTCGGTGTGAACTCCCAGACAGGCATCATCTTCACCTTGCTCGGAGCAGGCGGAGAGGAGGAGGAGAAGAAGGATAAGAAGGGTAAGGTGACGCTGACCTCCAGTCCCAGCGCCGATGGGGGCTGGCCCTCCTTCCATGCAGCTCCAGCTCCAGCTCCGGGGGTGGGAGGCCATACCCTCTCTTCTGATTCCTTTTGCGGACCCCTCTTCTGGGGTCTTTGCCCCAGAGCCAGCAGGTTGGGGCCCCCCAGTTCTGTGTACAGGCAGCGCCCCTCGGATGGCTATTCCCTGAAGGCTTTGGGTCGTGTGTGCCGGGGGCCTCATGCCCACCCTTGGGGGTGTTCAACCCCCATGGTGGTGCTGAGGGTCCCAGGCCAACATGGCACCCAGGGGCCAGAGGATGCTGGGATGGGGCGGGGGCCCTCACCCAAGGGAAAGCAATGTCGAGGGACAGATGTCTTCTGAGAGCCCAGCCCTATAGCCAGCCTGACGCACAGCCCCCCTGCTGCCTCCTCTTGCCACTGCTGTGAGCCCCAGGCATGGCCAGGGTCCCCTCCAGTCCTCAGAACAGGGCTTACAAGACTGTGGAGCTGCTCTCAGCGCCCCCGCACGCTGTCTCAGGGCCTAGGGTCAGGAGCCTGCTCCCGTCTGTGACTCAGGCCTGCACCTGCTCACCACTCACCTTGTTCTGACCTGGGTCTCCCTTCAGGCCACTTCTGCAGTCAAACCAGGTGGGGAGCAGAGTTTTCTAGATGTGCGCCTCACCTCTGAGAGAATCCACCTGGGCCCACTAGAAAGAAGTACAAAGAAACCGCACACGTGTGGGGAGAACGTGGGCCGGAAGCCTGCACCCGGGGCCTCCGGGGGCAATGAGATGCTGGGGCTGGTGAGCTGGGCAGGGGACAGAGGGTTGGCAGTCACTGGCCCCACCTCAGTCAGTCAAGGCCACTGGGCCCAGCGAGCAGGCATGATCAGTCTGCCCAGTCCCAGCAACATGGGCACAGGTCAGCATTAAGGAAAGATATGCTAGTGTCCCCGGCCCTGGGCCACCCTGCTCCTAGAGGCAGTGAGGGAAGAAATAGATGAGCCACTATTGCCTAGAAGCTTCTTTGGGCCCTGTATCCTGGCAGCCTGGGCCCGGCCTCTCTGCACGGACACCTCCCTGCTCCTGGATGGCCAGGCCCACCCCTCACAGCCACGTTTGCCACACCCAGCCCTGCCTCCCTGCAGAGCTCAGCTCAGGTCTCTCCACAGTGAGTGCCCTGGGGTCCACAGGCTGGTAAGCAGGTTAGTGGGCGGGCCCTGGGCCTCGTGGGCTGGGCTAGAGTCCCCATGCCTCTCTCCAGGGAGGCCCAGCTGACTTTGCCTAGCGGCCTTCCATCGACACCCTGCTGGCTGGTTGGCAAGGTGCCCCTTCCACACTCCTTCCCAGGCTCCTCCCCTCCTGCTTGGTCCCTTAAATGTTGGCTTCCTTCAGGACTTGGTCCTAGGCTCCTCCTCTTAGACCTCGATGAAACTCCTCCAGCCCCCACAGGTCCCTCCCTCACCCCAGCTCCTCTCCCCAACAGCACCCCCGGGCTGTGCTACTTAGGAGTCAGAGGGGCATCTCCACCAGCCAGCTTCCTGGAGGAGGGGAACCCTGAGGGGGCTCTGGAGGGGGAGCGGAGCTGGCCAGCCTCCAGGGAGGGGACAGCAGCACCCTCAACCCCTTGCCAAGGTCTCAGCCCAAGGCCTGGGCCTCTGTGGAGACAGGAGGGTGGCCACACCTGGTGCCTCCCCCTGGCCCTCACCCTTGCTTCCTCCTGACCTCGTCTGGGGGTCCAACACTCCCTGTCCACCCGCTGCCCCCCAACCTGTTTCTTGCCTTTTGGCCTTGACTCCTAATCACCTTTCTCCTTGAGGCATCCTCGCTCCCCTCCTCCTCCCTCCCTTGGCTCCTGTCTCTCCCCCTCCCATAATGCTCATCCCAAACCTCTCTCCCTCCTCCAGAGGCCTCCCCGGCCCTGTCTGCAGCCTGGGTCCTCTGGGTCCATCCTTCCTCTGGGCCCCCAGGGCCCCAGGGCTTCCGGCAACAGCCCCTCATTGCACTGTATCGTCACTCTGTGTCTCTGGGTGTCTCCCCTCGCCCCAGAAGTCTCCTTCACCTTTGAATAACCCCCCGTACCCCTACAGCGGCCCTGGGCAGAGAGGGCCTGACTCACACTGCACCTCGCCCTGCAGAGGGCCTCTCCCTCCCCCCAGGACCCCCAGACCAGACCCCACTACCTGGTAGTCACCTGGCACCCTGTTTGTGTTCCTGGATCCCTAGTGACATGAGCTATTGGGTGGTGGCTGACAGGCCAGTCCACAAACCCCTCCTGCCCCCTGTCAGTCATCTCTGGATTTGAGGCCAGCACAAGTGTGGCCCCCGAGAAAGCCCCTCAAACTGACGTCCCACCCATGATGCTCTGGGGAAGGTGAGGCAGGAGGGGCTAGGGTGCAGAGCCTGAGCCTGAGCACAGTGCCGGGCTCACTGCTGTGGTCCCCTTGCTTGTCAGGTCTCCTGGGCCCTCCCCAAGTGGCAGTCCTTCCTTACCTTGGAAACCAGAAGCGCCACCAGCGCTGTTTACCTTGGCCTTGGGAAGCCAGTCACTGCTGCAGTCCCTGACACTCAGCTATGGTCCTTGTGGTTGTAGAGCACTTTCATGAATGAGTCCCCGTACGGGTCCACCTGGTGCCCCACCTGTCCCTACCCCTGCCCGTCCCCGCAGTGCTGCGAGGTGCCCAGCACTCAGCCTGGTGCCCCAAGCCCGGCAGATTCCTCTAAATCACACACAGAGCTAACTGCTGGCCACACTGCAGAGGAGGCTAATCTCTAGGCCACCAGAGGTTAGGAACCATCTAGGTATACCTCCCTGCTGGTTCTGGGGGCAACGCATGTTTCCACTAGAGGCCCTTCTCAAGGCGGCACAGCTGGGACCGGACACCTGGCAGCAATAACTCCCTGTGTTGGCAGCCCTGGTGGAAAGCCCCACTGCCAGCTGCATGTGACCCAGGGTCCATCCAGAGCTGGCTCTGGGGCTTCAGTGGAGGACTGGGTCAAGGCGCCCACATGTCGGGAGGTGGTGAGAGGGCGTTGTGTGAGCCTGGGGAGTACAGGGCCCTCCTCTTCCCACCTCCCCGTCCCCTGTGCTCGCTGGCTGCACTGTCTATACCCCACTGTCCTGTGCGTGTGTGTGTGTGTGTGTGTGCCAGGGCCACGTGGATGTTCTCAAGTCTCCGTGTCTGTCGTTCCTCTTCCATTGTAGGCAAGCAGCAGGATGGGGCGATGGAGAGTAGCCAGACCAAAGGTAATGCGAGCCCTGCACTCAGGGTGGGGTAGGGAGGGCATGGCACGGGGGGGGGGGTGGGTGCCCACCTCATTGCAGGAGCAGCACCTAGAGACCAGGTGAGTGGGACGGGGCGGCCCATCTGCAGACCCCGCCGGGTGTGCACAAAGATCACCTGTGAGCAAGCATCCTGGAGAGGAAACTGAGAGGGTGACTCGCCCAAGACCTATCAGGCCCGTGGGTTTCCCAGTTCAGCTGCCTTTCTGCTGGGCCTTAGAGGCAAGGTGGCTGGGTGGCCGTCCGAGGGGCCGCCGCCTGTTCCGCTCTCGGCCTGGATGCCTGGTGGTGCCGACGCTCTGTGGCCGGGCTGAAGGCTTGTCAGCAGGCAGTCATAGGATCTGAGGATTGAAAGGTGGATAAAGCCTGGTCCTGGCCCTCAGGAAGGTCACGGTCCAGAGATGCGGCCCAGGGGCAAAACTCAAGTGCAGCATGGAACTCAGAGACCCAGGACGAGATGGGATCAGACAAGCAAACCAGAGCTCAAGGATAGCTGGAATGGGGAGGGCATTTGGGGCACGGGACAGCCCAGTGACTAGGGCCCCAGGCTGGGGCAGGGAGTGGCAGTTGGTGGGGCATGAGGCTAGAGTGGCCCAGCTGGGTGGGGCCATAAGTGTCGCTGAGGCCAAGGCCTCTGGCCTGAGGCCCCTGGAAAGAAGAAGCCATTGGTGAGTGGCCTCAGACAGTCGAGGGGACAAGGGATGGGTGGGAAGACTGGAAGGAAGAGGAAACAGCTAATGCAGCGAGGTGGCGGGAGCCGTGCAGAGGTGGTGTCAGGAGAACCAAGAGCCCCATTGGGTGGGGACAAGAGCAGTGAGGGAAAAGGACGAGTGGCGGGGGCGAGTGCCCCCTCCAGGTGGGAGAAGAACAGGCTTACGTGGGGCAGTACAATTGAAGACATTGCAGGCCAGAATGTATAAAGTGATAGAGGTTGTAAAGGCAGGGTGGGGGACCCCCCACCCTCCTGTCAGGGGCAGCGTGAGGAGCCGGGGGGGCCACCTGTTCCAGAGAGGAGGCAGGAAGGCTCCACAAGGAGAGAGGCCTGAGGTTTGCCCAGAGCAGCCCCTTCCAGCTGCAGCAGGAGGTGGCCAGGGCGCGGGCTCAGGTGAGCTAGGCCCCGATGGACAAGGGGCCCAACCAAGGGGTCGGTGGGAGAAGAGACAGCCTGAGTAGGGAGCAGGGGAGGAGAGTGCAGGGCCTCCTGGGCCTCCCTGAGGGGAGTGGAGAGGTGTCTTGGACACCAGTGGGCCAATGAGTCAGCTCAGGGTTCTGGAACATTCCTTGGGCCTCAGGCCTCTGCTCTCAGGTATTGAGATTTGGGGTTGGCCCCCCTGTCTGTGTGTCCAAGTTACTCGTGCTTGTGTCTGTCCTTCCTTCCCCTGCAAGGCCCCAAGAGAACCTTCTCTGTCCTGCCCAGGACAGCACTGGAGCGGCCCACCCACCTGCCTCAGGAGGGACTGGGCTGACAAGGAGAGAGGAGGGAGAGGAGCTAGCCTCCATGCCGTGTGACACTTGGAAATCAGAGAAACCCCCTGAACCCCGTGTCCTCTCGTATGGTGTGGCATGTCTTTCCCTCTGAAGGCCCCTTGTAGCTGTGACCCCAGCCACTGGGCCCTAACCTTGGCCATGGGGTTCCTCTTATGCAGCTAAGAAGCAGGATGGGGCGGTTGCCATGGAAATGCAGCCTCTGAAGAGCGCGGAGGGCGGGGAGATGGAAGAGCGGGAGAAGAAGAAAGCCACCGTGCCCAAGAAGGAGAAATCCGTCCTTCAGGGCAAGCTCACCAAACTGGCTGTGCAGATCGGGAAAGCAGGTGGGGGCCCCCGATGGGCACGGAGGGTACGGGCTCCTGGACGTAAGACCGAGCCTTGGAGAGCAAGTGGGAAAGGGATGTGCCAGGCGGCAAGGGGACAGCCCAGGGGCCGATGGTGGCCATCAGAGTCCAGCCCCTCTCCAGTGAGCATGGATTCCCAGCCCTCCGGGAGGCCTCACCCAACGCAGGCTCGAGCTGGTGCCAGCTGCAGCATCCCTTATCTCCTCTTCCCTCCTGCTCTCTCCTTCCCTCGCCCCTGCCGACCCCACTTCCTGCCCCCACCCCCTATGGCCTCTGTTGTGGCTGGGCAGGGCTGGTGATGTCTGCCATCACCGTCATCATCCTGGTCCTCTACTTTGTGATTGAGACCTTCGTCGTCGACGGCCGGGTGTGGCTGGCGGAGTGCACGCCAGTCTATGTGCAGTACTTCGTGAAGTTCTTCATCATCGGTGTCACTGTGCTGGTCGTGGCTGTCCCGGAGGGCCTCCCTCTTGCTGTCACCATCTCCTTAGCTTACTCTGTCAAGGTAATAATAATAAACACAATAGGAATAAGAATCCCTTGATACCAGGATACAGACCCAGAAACTGGGGTGCGAAGCCGTTAAGCAACTTGGACGCAGTGGGGACTAGAGAAAGTTTGGGATCACTCAGGGGAAGAGCAGGGAGCCTGAGCAGGGACCAAGAGCTGAACGCAGACATCCTTCGCTGCCCGGCTTTCTGGCCACGATGAGAGGAGCCAGAAACCAGGCAGGTGGTGGGAGAGACCTGGCATCTGCAGGATGAAAGCGGGGGACACGGAGGGCCCAGGGAGCTAAGGGTGCTGGTGCCACTTGCAGAGATAGGGGCGGAGAGGAAGGATGATCAGAGGAGGACGGAGGACCTTGGAGACAGTATTCAGGGCATGGCTGTTGGGGGGGAGTGGGGGCGCTGCAGGGCCATGAGAGGGGCTGTGGGTGGGGGGTTGTCCTAGGCAGCATGGAGACCCAGGGTGAGCTCTGGGGAGAGTGGCCGCCCAGAGTCAACCAATCGGTGTGTCTGATAAGAGTCCTTACATCTTACAGGCCCACTACCCAGGCCTCACCACCGCTCTGTAGCCACTCTGAGCTGAGTCTTTGGGCACTGCTGGCAGCCCAGCGGTGACGGTGTGTGCCTGCCAACTGAGGCCCCTGGGCTGTTAGTGCCACATGGAAAGCTGGTCGGGCAAAGCAGAGTCATACATGATGTTGTGTTGACAACCTCTTGCTCCCCCACCCCCTGGGCCAACCTCCCAAGGACAACTGGCTACCCAAGCCCCTGCCTTGCCCTTTACAGAAAATGATGAGGGACAACAACCTGGTCCGCCACCTGGACGCCTGCGAGACCATGGGCAATGCCACGGCCATCTGCTCGGACAAGACGGGCACACTCACCACCAACCGTATGACCGTGGTCCAGTCCTACCTCGGGGACACTCACTACAAGGAGATTCCAGCCCCCAGCGCCCTGACACCCAAGATCCTCGACCTCCTGGTCCACGCCATCTCCATCAACAGTGCCTACACCACCAAAATACTAGTGAGCTGAGAGTGGGTGGCAGGCTGGACCCAGCGAGGGTGGGCGAGGGCAGGGCCTGATGAGGGGTGCAATGGGAGCTGTCGCCAGGGGCTGGCTAGCTCTCGGAAAACCGTTTAACCAGAGCTATGATGGTCTCTGGGGTGCTGAACACCCTCTTCCTCATCTCTGGACCCAGTAGTCCCACCCTGGCTGCTGGGCAGGGCCCGCGGGTTCTGGAAGCCCCTTCCAAGCCCAGTGAATGGTGGGAAACCTGCCCACCTAGTCCACAGTGGAGGCCCTCCTTGGCTCCCTGCCACCATGCCCTAAAGATGTCGTGGCTGCAGCCAGGCTGGGTCCCTGGGAGCAGCAAGGTGGGAGGACTTGGCCCTCACACCGTGCTGATTCTCCTCACCTCACAGCCTCCAGAGAAGGAAGGGGCTCTCCCACGCCAAGTGGGCAACAAGACGGAGTGTGCCCTGCTGGGCTTCGTCCTGGACCTGAAGCGGGACTTCCAGCCTGTGCGAGAGCAGATTCCGGAAGATAAGCTTTACAAAGTGTACACCTTCAACTCAGTCCGCAAGTCCATGAGCACAGTCATCCGCACGCCCGACGGCGGCTTCCGCCTCTTCAGCAAGGGCGCCTCGGAGATCCTGCTGAAAAAGTGAGTGGCTGCCCGTGGCGGAGGCAGCTAAGGAGCGTGGGGTCTCTGGTTTTATTATTGTGGTAAAACAGACATAGCGTCAAATTGGCCATTTTCGTCACCTTAAAGTGCGCAGTTCAGTGTCGTTAAGTGCATTCACAGTGTTGTGCCACCGCCACTGTCTAGTTCCAGAACGTTTCATCACCCCCGGAGGAAGCCCCATACCCATTAAGCAGTCTCTCCCCCAGATCCCCACCCCCCAGCCCCTGGCAGCCCCTCATCTCTTTTCTGTCTCCACGGATTTGCGTCTTCTGGACCTTTCATAGGAATGGAATCATGTGATCTACGGCCTTTTGTGTCTGGCTCCTTTCTCTCAGCATAATGTTTCCAAGGTCCATCCACAGTGTAGCATGTGGCAGAACTTCACCCCTTTTTATGGCGGAATAACCTTCCATCGGATGGATACACCACACTTCGTTTATCCAGTCACATGCTGATGGACAGCTGGGCTGTTTCCACCTTTGGGCTATTATGAAGAATGCTGCTGTGAATATGAGCGTACAGGTTTTTGTTTGAACACTGCTTTCACTTCTCTTGGGTCTAGTCCTTGGAGTGGAACTGCTGGGTCAAAGGGGAACTCTGCGTCTGACTCTGGGGGGAGGCGCCGGCCTGCTTTCTGTGGGGCTGCACCATTTGCTGTTCCCACCAGTGCAGGAGGGGTCTGGCTTCTCCTCATCCTCACCAACGTGTTATTTTCTGGTTTTTTTCTTCTTCTTATTATGATTCCAGCCATCCTAGTGGATGTGAGGTAGGATCTTGTGCTGGTTTTGATGTCATTTCCTGATGGCCGGTGGGGTTGGCACCTTTCCTGTGCTCCTTGGCCCTTTGTGTGTCTTCTTTGGAGAGGCGTCTAGTCCAGCCCTTTGATCCGAGGCAGCTGTTTGCTGTCGGCCACGAGAGCTCTCTGTACGTTCTAGAGACTAGATCCTCGACACAGATCTGACTGCAGATTCCCTCCCATTCCATGGGCTGTCTTTTCAGTCTCTTGATTCGTCCTTGGATGCACAAATGTTTTTTTCTCTTCTTGTTTGTGCGGGGTTTCTTTTAGAGGTGATGAAAATGTTCTGAAGCTGGCTGTGGGGATGGTCGCACAACTCTGGATATACTAAAAGCCACTGGATTGGACATTTTAAATGAGTGAATTGTGTGGTGTGTGAATTATGTTTCAATAAAGCTGTTAGAAAAGCTGAGCGGGGAGCACGCAGCCCCGCCTCCAAGTACCCTGCCCCAAGTCCTCTCAGTGCCCTGCCCCCAGCCTCAGCCTCTCTCTTCCTCAGTATCTAGCAGCCCTCCCCTGCCCACCTGGCGCCTCACTTCCTCCAGAGCCACCTTCTGAGACATGACCTGATTGTGCCTCTGAGCTCATAGCTGGCCTTCCAGGGCCTTCAGGACAGAGTCCTCAGCAGGCCATCCGAGGCTCCCTGCCTCCCAGGACGGCTGAGTGCGCCCCCACCTGGCTGTGTCCTGGCCTCTGCTGACTGCTGCGCCACCCAGAATGCTCCCCTCTCAAACTCTGTCCAGGCACAGCCTCCCCAGCCTGGTGCAAAGGCCACCTGCTCCCTGAAGCCGTCCCACTGGCTCCCGGCAGATGTGGCGGCTGGACTTGGAGGCCCCCACCTCTTTCTATGCCTCTCCTCTGGTGGGTACCATGGCTAAGAGCCCAGTTTCTGTAGTTGGGCACTGGGCTCCAGCCCCAGCTCTGCAATTTTTTATTTCTGGTGAGGAAGACTGGCCCAAAGCTAACATCTGTTGCCAATCCTCCTGTTTTTCGCTTGTCTCTGAGCTAACATCTCTGCCCATCTTCCTCTGTTTTGTATGAGGGATGCTGCCTCAGCATGGCTTGATGAGCGGTATGTAGGTCCACACCCAGGATCCGAAGCCACAAACCCTGGGCTGCCAAAGTGGAGTGCCCAAACTTAACCACTACGCCACCGGGCTGGCCCCTGCTCTTTGCTGACTGTGTGAACGTGACCCCCTTACTCCCCACCCCAGGCCTCAGTCTCCCACTGTAGCATGGCAATGGCAGGAATACTTACCTCCTGAGAGTGTTGTGAGAATTGCATGGGTGAATCCCCAGAAAGGCCGGGGTCCGTGCCGGCTTTTGCTTCATCCTCACTGCCCACCCTGAGCTCTGCAGCCGGCTCCTTCTCTCCTTCCTCACCAGTCTGTTTGGAGACCCTCCCCACCCTTCCACCTCGCCTGCCTCTAGGGCCCTTGGTTCCTTTGCTCTTTCCTCTTCCACACCTGAATCCTGCAGCCTGCCCCACCCTGGCCCTTCTGAGAAGCTTCCAGGGTCATCAGAGCCCATGCCACAGTTTCTGCCTTGTCGTGGCCCCACTCTGTGGCACTCAGTTTATGTTGATGTTCCACACTCTTGCCCTGAAGCCCAGTGTCACAAGTGTGATGTGCCCCAGCGCCCATCGAACACCGGTGGAGCTGTGATGGAGCTGTGCTCCGGCCTCCTGCTTGGCTCTCTTAGACCAGTCTATGAGCCTCCAGCTCCTAGGCCTGCCGGAACCAAGTACCATAAACCTGATGGCTTAAAACAACAGAAATCTAGTTTCTCCCAGTTCTGGAGGCCAGAAGTCTGAGATCCAGGTGTAGACAGGGCCTGGCTCCCCACAGAGCCTCCAGGGGAGGATCGCCGCTGTCTCCAGCTTCTGGCGGTCACCGGCACCCTTGGCCTTCCTTGGTGGGTAGCTGCCTCACTCCAGGCTCTGCCTCTGTTGTCACATGGCCTTGTCCCTGTGAGTCTTTGTGTGTACTCTTCTCTTTTTATAAGGACACCAGTTGTTGGATCAAGGCCCCACCCTCATCCAGTATGACCTCATCTTAACTTTGCAGCAACCCTATTTCCAAATAAGGTCACATTCTGAGGTTGTGGGGAGAGCATGAATTGGGGGGTACACTCTCAGGCCCTGCAAAAGTAGAGCGCCTCCCTCCTTGGAGAAGCCTGTCTGCCTTGTCGGATGGAGGGCTCAGGCTGATCCCCGCCAAGACTCTCGGCCTGCCGGCTCCCCTGGCCTCATGGCACCTGCTCCTCGTGTTCTGTCCCTGCCCCAGGTGCACCAACATCTTAAACAGCAACGGAGAACTGCGCAGCTTCCGCCCTCGGGACCGGGACGACATGGTGAAGAAGATCATTGAGCCGATGGCTTGCGACGGCCTCCGCACCATCTGCATCGCCTACCGCGACTTCTCTGCTGCCCAGGAGCCTGACTGGGACAATGAGAATGAGGTGGTGGGCGACCTCACCTGCATAGCTGTCGTGGGCATCGAGGACCCTGTGCGACCCGAGGTAACCACCCACTTCTCTGAGCGGCTGGGTTGTTGGGATGGGTGGAGGGGCGTGTCACTGCAAGGAGAGACCCAACCCTTTCTCCCTCCTTCCTGGCTGCCACACCACTTCCTGCTAGAGTTATAGGTAGAGCGAACTGCCACCTGCTGGAGGAGTCTGGAAGGGTGAGTGTGGGCACCGCACCCCAGATCACACCCTCCTTGGTGCACTTCAGCCCCCTCATCCTCTCGCCCTTGCTCCTACATGGAGGCTCTGACCTGCCCGCTGGAAGGCCCCCTCCCGCTGGCCTCCAGCCCTGGCTCAGGCTCTGCCTCCACCAGGTGAGAGGGGGTGGCAGTTAGAACCTCGACACCCCCAGGACTGATGGACTGGAGCAGGTGACGAGGGAGAGGGAAGAGCCGGGCACAGCTCCCAGGGCTGTGGTTTGGAGAGGCGGGCAGGTGGCACTGCCATCACCAGGCTGGGAAGTTCTTGGTTGAGGGTTTGGTTGGGGCTGAGTGAGGTTTAGGACGTCCCCATGGAGATGTCAAGTGGGTAGGAGAGCTCAGAGCAGAGGTCCTGGCAGGAGAGAGAGTCCAGAAGCAGCTTTACATGAGTGATGTCTTGGAGTGGGCATGCCTGAGCAGAGGCAGGAGGACCCTGCCAAGGAGACTTGAAGGAATGGGCTAGGCAGAGAGGGGAAACTGAGAGGGCCATGTGGCTGAAGCACGAGGGTGGCTTAGCCCAATCCTGGCTGCAGTGGGCCCTCGACATTGAGAGGTCACTGGAGACCTTGACCTCACAGATTCTGTGGGACGGCGGGGAAGGAGCCAGCACATGGACAACCTTATCAAGAGCTTTTCTGAAGGGCGAACAGAGAAACAGGGCAGAAGCTGGACAGGGAGTAGAGTGAAGGAGCAATGGAGAGAGTTGTTGGTTCTTAAAGGTGGGAGATCCTTGAGGGAGGGAGAGCTTGCCAGGGCTGTAGGACACCAGGTCCCAGAGGGAGTGTGCAAGGCACAGGAGGTGCAGGTTGCCAGAGACATGGAGGGACCATCTCTCTGCTCCCAGGACCTTTCCAGCGGTGCCTACCTCATGTTAGAGTCAGGGCCACTTTGATCCTGCCAATTAGCCTGAAAACACGTATGTAAACTAGCTGTCCTGGAGGGTGCTGACACAATGGAGGAGAAGCTTCTGGGCTCTCGTTCGGGAGACAGGCATTCACACATTGGATCAAGGACCAAAGACCCTTGATTCATAAGTCGGTGCTTGGCACATCTGAACGCCAGCCACAGGTTATCAGTGATGGCACGTCCCCACATTCCAAGGAGGTAGGGGCCACTGCATGCAGAGTGGGGACACATGGAGGCTGGCCTGGGAGGAAATGGATGGTGACAGAGGGGAGGGGAGAGACTTCCAGCCAGAGATACAGGCCTGGCAAATGTAGGTGATGGGAGGAGCAGCTTGGGAGAGCAAGAGGAGAAGGCGCTGCTGAGGGTGGCACAGCCACCCCCACGGACACAGGGGCCAGGCCTCTCCCTTTATCAGGCCAGGGAAAATCTGAGGCACAGAGCGGAGGAGGGCTGTGTCCACGCAGCAAAGCCGAGTCACAAAGTTGTGTTGCCCTTGTGTAGACCTGATGGCCTTCCCCTTCGGGATGGAGCCGTTCACCACACCCCGCAACACCCCACACGGCTGCGGGCTGCTGGCTGGTGTTCCGTGCTGCTCCTGGGGTGGTGGGTGTCCCCTCGTTACTTCCGGGGAGGTGTCGACAGTGGCAGCTCTAAACTTTTCTGCCCAGTTGCTGGGGCCGTGTGAAGCTGCCGGAAGGCCGGGGCTCCCGCCGGAGTGCGCACAGACCCAAGACGGTGGCGTTCCCCAACTCCCAGAGCCTGGCCAAGGCCCTTTCCCCACCATCATGACCCGCCCGCCCTCCCCTTCTACCTCAGCCACTTGCCCGGACGGAGGGGTGTAGGGTGTGAAGCCACTCCCGGCCGCACAGCCCAGGGAGCCCTTCCTGCCTGGTCCCCAGGCCGAGGAGCCCTGCAGGCTTCTCCTCGTTCCTAGCAGAAACATTTGTTGAGCCACTCAAAGCTCGAGTCGCAGGTGTAAACAGAACTGCAGCGGCCATCTTCTGGTCCAAGTCGGCTCATTTACAGAGGCATCAACCAGGCTAGACTGGGGTTGGGGGTCAGATGGAACTGTCCAGAATGGCTGCACATGGGTGGGGCAAGGCCTGGCCTTCTAGTGGTGGAACACAGGCAAAAGTCCAAAGAAGGGTACAGTGAAGGCCCCACAGTGGCTGCCATGGCGGGAGAGTCCCCGAGGCCGAGCAATGGGCCACTCCTGTGAGCGCCAGAGATGGCCTTGGCAGAAGGGCCCAGGGGACGGGACAGCTCCTCTCTGGCTTGAGAGTGGCTGAGTGAGTCTGGGCAGCAGATGGCACCAACATGGCCAGGCTGGGGAGGCCAGGCAAACCCCCATGGAGACTGGCCTGCCAGATGGTGGCCAAGGAGGGAGCGCCGAGGGCCCGGTGGAGTGCTGGGTGGCAGGCGGCAGGGTGGATGGGGCGCCATTAAACCTGCCAAGGCGCCTAGAGGCGTGGGACGACTGCAGCCAGAGGCAGGCTGCGGGGCTGCAGGGCCCCTGGGCGTGGGCCGCGTTAATGCTGGAGGGGTGCGGGCCTCCTCCACGCAGCCGGCTGGCTGCCATGCCGTCAGGCCTCCAGGAGCACATCGGCATCACGGCCGGGCTGGGGCTGGACGAGGAGCACGGGGCGACAGGTGAGGAAGGACAGCCGCCCCATGAGGGAGAGGGCACCTGCAGAGGGAGGGAGGCTTCCTGCCCGCTGGCTGGGAGGCCGAGGGCCTTTCTGCGGAAAGTGAGCCGGCCTGGGCTGCACCCAGAGGAGGTGAGCAAGGCCCCGGTCTAGGGCTCCCGGGTTTCCAGCTCATCACGGCCACTTGGTGGCAGCAGAGGAGTGGCTTCCAGACGCTTCAGGGCCGGGAGGGAGCTTGCTGGAAGGGGAGTGTCTCCCTGTAGCTCATCATCCGGCACCCCAAGATCCCCAAAGGGCAAAAAGTGTCCCTAAGGCCTGGAGCAAAGAGACACATTATTGGAGGTACGAGATGCAGCCCCTTTCCAGGAGCTTGGCCTTCCAGGCCACTTGGCAGTTATTTGCTACAGGGATCACAGGGTTGCCGTGTCACAACCCTGAAGTGGGGGCTCCTCTGGCTGGGCCGCAGGCTTCCCCTCTTGTCACGCCCTCTCTCTCCCTGGCTGAGATAACAACCACCCCACACCCTGACCCCCTGCCTTGGGGGCCTTGGGGACCACCAGCGTGCTGGGGACTCCCAGGTCAGAGTGCACCTACCCCCCACCCAGCCCCACCTGCTGCCTGCCTCCCCTGGGGTCTCCCGGCTGACCTGCCCCGCCCCCACCACCTGGCTCCTGCTCCTCTGGCTGTCAAGTCTGTGTGGCCCAGCTCACCCCCCTGTCCCTGGGCTCCTAAGCCTGGCCTTTGGGGCACACCCGGCACACTGCGTGCTCCCTCCCCGTCTCTCCTCAAGCTCAGACTGTTCCCAGGGCTTTCGTCAGCCCAGTGGTGCTCACTGGGGACTGGCAGGTGTGTGCGCTGGGCCCATCGGACAGAGCAGGGAGCCGGGGCTCCCCAGGCTGCACCCCTCGCAGGGGCTGCATCCAAGCATCTCACAGGCCTCGGCCCGACCTCCTTATCCAGTTCCCCAGCTCTGAACCCATTCCTCCCCTCCTCCTTGTCCTCTCCCCTCCCTGGCCCCACAAGCACCATCTGCCCAGCTGCCCTCCCCACTGCAGTCTCCAGGCTCAAGAGCCACCTCCTCATTAATTGGGGAGCCAGAGCATCTCCACTCTCTGGGACAATGCCACCACCTCTCAGCTCCCTTCAGCCCATTTTCCACTCAGCACCAAGGGGATCTCTTTTTCTCCCCCCTTTACCAAAGTCTAATATTATATTTAGAAAATGGAAATGTGTGCTCCGTAACCAAAGCAGTGTTCCATTCCCCTGATGAATAGTGAGAATGCCTCATCATGGAAAACGTTCGGCTCCGCAGGCCTTCAATTTTTTGTAGAAAAAGGTATGCTGTAGAAACGGTGGAGACAAGTGAGCAAGGGGCCCAGAGTTCCGCCCCGCAGCAGCTGATGGCCGGCCGGGAGCCTGCCCTGAGTCAGGCCCCAGAGGGATGGGCTTCTGGGCTCACCTTTCCAGACACAACTCCGATGGTGCCCCTCGACAGTGTAAAAGCTTCTGGTGGCTTCTCCTAGCCTTACTCATGGTGTCAGGGCCTGGGTCTGAGTCGTTGCTGGTCCCCAGAGCTTGGCCCAGTGAAGGAGGCACCTTGGGGAGGGGGGCGCTCAGGGACTGAGGGGGGCGCCCTGCCCACTTCGGGCTAGACTGACAGTGGCATCAGAGCAGACAGGCCTCTCCTCGCCTCCTCTGGGCTGCCCTTCTCAGGGGCCCTTCCCTGGGACCACAGTGAGGGGGGAGGGCTGCAGATCTGGATGGAGGAGAGGATACAGCCTGGACACAAATGTGCCTTGCCTTGATGACCCCACGCACCTCTCTTGTCTCTTCCAGGTCCCTGAAGCTATCCGCAAATGCCAACGTGCTGGCATTACAGTCCGCATGGTGACTGGAGACAACATCAACACGGCCCGGGCCATCGCAGCCAAGTGTGGCATCATCCAGCCAGGGGAGGACTTCCTGTGCCTGGAGGGAAAAGAATTCAACCGGCGCATCCGCAATGAGAAAGGCGAGGTAGCTCCCAGCCCATCGGCCTTCCCGTAGGGGGCCACCCGTTTCTGCCCACCTCGGTCCAGGGTTCTGGCTGTTTCTCCCCACCCCATCTCTGCTCAGCCCCACCTGCCCAGCCCCCGAGGCTCTGCAGCATCTGTGTGCTTGCCCCTCCCAGATAGAACAGGAGCGTCTGGACAAGGTGTGGCCCAAGCTGAGGGTCCTCGCCCGATCATCTCCCACTGACAAGCACACTCTGGTCAAAGGTAATGGAGCTAGCTCACCCCCGCCCACCCCTGCCCCGTCCCTTGTCCCTTCCCAAGGTGACACGGCGCTGGCTGAGTGCAGCCATCCCCCCCGCATGTTATCTGCTCCCAGACAGGTTTTCAGGGCCAGCTCAGGAAACAGAGTCCTCAGCTCTGGACCTGTTGCCACTGGAGACTTGCTTTGTGTCTGAGAGCGAATCACTGGCTCTCCCCAAACCTCAGTTTCCTCATTGGGGAAATGGGGATAATAATGGAGACCCCCTCAAAGGGCTGACGTGCCAGAGCTCACCCCTCCTCTTCTCTGAGCTAACAACATGAATGAAAGACACCGGTAGAGGCTGGCCTCTCATCATAACAGATGGGGAAACAGGCCCAGGAGAGGGAGACGTTTCTCCAAGTCACATGGCGCTGGGCCCTTGCCTTCCACCAAATCACACGGCCCTATATCATCTCACTGGGTGATGGACCAGGGTGGGATGAGAGGGACGAGGCTGCCAGTCAGGGTACAAAGGTGACAGGGAGCTTGGAGGATCGGGGGCAGTAGACACAGTCACAATCCCAAAGGCTTTCCAGAGCTACCCAGCCCCCCAGAGCCCCCTGGGCTGGTCACACAGGCCCACAGATGGCGCCACTCTGTGTTCCAGGGATTATTGACAGCACGACTGGCGAGCAGCGACAGGTGGTGGCCGTGACGGGGGATGGCACTAACGACGGGCCAGCCCTCAAGAAAGCAGATGTGGGCTTCGCCATGGTAAGCCACCCAGCGCCAGCCTGGCTCACCACCCCAGGCTGGGCCCTGTGTCCCGAGGACATTAGCTTTGTGTAGGAAGGTGGGAGCTAGTGTTGAAGCAAGTCGCAGAGTGCCAGAAGTTTCTTTCTCTCACATCCTGCCCACTTGGGCCTCCTCAGGCTCTGCTGGTCAGGGGACACACGTGTGATTTGTTTAAAGGTATCTGATGTGATGATGCCCGAGATGACAGTGGGGCCCAGCCACATTGCCATGGGGCAGGGGACTTGCCAGTTGTGTGCCTGCCTCACCCTCTCCCAGTCCAGTCTAAGTGGACCTTGGCCCCAAGTATAATCAGCAGAGCCCCAAACAAGCTTTTCCTCTGTGCTTCTCTCCTGTTGCTTACATGGAGCTAATTCCTGCTGTAAAACCCAGACCCCGCTGAGCAGGGTGGCCAGTGACCGGCCCTGGCCCCACGGCCTTTTGCAGGGAGCTGTGCTCAGCCACCAAAGGCAGAACCCCCGCGAGCCCTTCTCCCCACCCTCCCGAGAAGGAGTGCCCTTCATTCCGCCCCATTCAGTCTGGCCCACCACGTGCAGGCCCCGGGGGCACCGGCCAGTCCTTCCCAGAACCCAGCCCCCAGAGAGACCAGGCCCCAGTGCCCGGGGGCTTGGAGGACACACCGGAGCAACACAGGGCCCGGCCTCAGGGCGGCGGACAGAGTGTGCTGTCCCTGCGTCTGAGGCTTCGAGCAGCAAGGACAGGAGTCCTCCTCCAAACACCCCTGTGTGGGCCGGGAGGACTTGTCCTCGCTCTGCCAGAGGTGTCCCCGTTCAGGACTCCCAGGGCCTCCTTATGTGGCAAGCTACTCTAGCACACTAAGACAGGACAAAAGACTGGTTGGTGGCCACACAGTGGCAGCTGGGCCTTGTGAGTAAGGCCATGTTGGTGGCCCCAGTGGCAGCACCCTCTTTGTTTATGAACAGAGCCCCTCACCATGCTGCGTTCCCAGCTGGTGGGGAGCTTCTTTTGAAAGGGAAGGGGGGGGGAGCCAGCCCAGAGGGGCTGGGAAAGGGGCTCGCAGACACTGTGTGTATGCCCCCCAGGGCATCGCAGGGACTGACGTGGCCAAGGAGGCCTCGGACATCATCCTGACCGATGACAACTTCACCAGCATCGTCAAGGCGGTCATGTGGGGCCGCAACGTGTACGACAGCATCTCAAAGTTCCTGCAGTTCCAGCTGACAGTCAACGTGGTGGCCGTGATTGTGGCCTTCACGGGCGCCTGCATTACTCAGGTGGGCACTGGGGACCACCATGCCTGAGGAGAACTCTGGGCTCTCCTCCCATAACCCATGGGGCCCCTTCTGCCTTGGGCACCTGGACCCCAGTGCAGAGAGCAAGCCCAGGGGAGCCCGCTCCCAGGAGTGTGTGGGCTGGGAAGCTCCTGCCTGAGGGTCTAGTTGGGAGACCCAGGTGTTTTCTTTGCTACAGGTTTTTTTTTTTTTTTTTGGTGAGGAAGATTCACCCTGAGCTAACGTCTGTTTCCAGTCTTCCTCTTTTTGCTGAGGAAGACTAGCCCTGAGCTAACATCTGTGCCAGTATTCCTCTATTTTGTATGTGGATCACCACCACAGCATGGCTGATAAGTGGTGTAGGTCCTCACCCAGGAACTGAACCTGCAAACCCAGGCTGCCGAAGCCGAGCGCACCAAACTTAACTAGTAGGCCACTGGGGCTGGCCCCGAAGGTTTTTTTATTAAGATAAAGTTCACATACCACAGAATTCACCTTTTGAGAATGTAAAATTCAGTGGATTTGTTTTAGTATAGTCACAAAATTGTGCAATCATCACCTCTATCTAATTCCGGAACATTTCCCTCACCCCAAAAGGAAACCTGTTCCCATTAGCAGTCACTCCCCAGTCCCCTCTCCCCAAGCCCCTGATACCCAACAATCTAATGTCTGTCTCTACAGACTTACCTATTCTGGACTTTCATATAAGTGGAATCAAATAATAGGTGGTGGTTTGTGTCTGGCACCTTTCTCTTGGCACAGTGTTTTCAAGGTCCACCTGTGCTGTAGCACACATCGCTACTTCATTCCTTTTGATGGCAGAATAATGTTCTGTTGCATGGATGGATCACATGTTTTTCTCCATTCCTCCATCAATGGACTCTTGGGTTGCTTCCCCCTGTTGGCTGCTGGGGCTAGTGCTGCTGTGAACACGCGTGGACGAGGCTCTGTGTGGGCCTGTGTTCTCACTGCTCTTGGGTCTGGACCTAGGAGTGGAAGGGCTGGGGCTGACAGGAGCTCCAGATTTCACCTCTGGAGGAGCCTCTGCCCTTGTTTTTCTTTGCTGGGAAAGAGTCGCCCTGAGCTAACATCTGTTGCCAATCTTCCTCTTTTTTGTGTGTGTCTGCCCAAAGCCCCACTACGTAGTTGTATATTCTAGTTGTAAGTCCTTCCAGTTCTTCTCTGTGAGCCGCCCCCACAGCATGGCTACTGACAGACGAGTGGTGAGGTTCCAATGCCCGGGAACTGAACCTGGGCCACCGAGGTGGAGCACACCAAACTTTAACCACTAGACCATCAGAGCTGTCTCTCTGCCCCGTTTTCAATAGCCCAATTCTCCCCATTAGTGAGTGTCCAGAATGTATTTGTCTCCCTTTCAAAGGTTTTTTTTTTAATTGAGATAAAATTCACCTAACATAAACTGCACCGTAATAGGCATTTTAACCATCTTAAAGTGTACAATTCACTGGTTTCTAGTACATTCACAATGTTGTACAACCATCACCTCTATCTCATTCCAGAACATTTTCATCACCCCTGTACCCACTAAGCAGCCACTCCCCTACTCTCCACTGCCCCAACCCCTGGCACCCACTCATCAGCCGTCTGTCTCTGTGGATCTGTTGGTTCTGGAAGTTTCGTAGGAATGGAATCATACAGTATGTGGTCCTTTGTATCTGGCTTCTGTGGGGCTGGTTTTTAACCAGAAACTCCGAGGCGATGAGGGGAAGGAAGTTCCAGGGCAGAGTTTCTGCCTCTTCTTGCCCCTTGGGCGTGGGAGACCAGCAGGGCACCCATCAGTCAGGCTCTTTCATGGTCTGGGGCAACTGACAGGGGTTGGCAGCCCCCTGCTAACCATTTCGACCACATCTTCTAAATCACTGCCACCAGGGGAGAGCAGAAGGGAGCCTGGGAACATTTTAAGAGCAGGAATTGGAAAGCCCAGAGCAAGCTCTCTGCTAACCTTCAGAAAACAGAGGGTGGGGAGGTCACGATGGTATGCAGAGGTCAGATTTGTCGCATTTTCACCTGAATGACTTTCCAGTGGCACTGACCCCAAGCTGAGTTTCTTCCCAGGAGTAGGGGACCAGTGAGGTTTCCAGCCACACGTTGGGGTGACTGCCTTCTCTTGGCAGGACTCTCCTCTCAAAGCCGTGCAGATGTTGTGGGTGAACTTGATCATGGACACATTTGCCTCTCTGGCCCTGGCGACGGAGCCCCCCACCGAATCGCTGCTGCTGCGGAAGCCATACGGCCGAGACAAGCCCCTGATCTCCCGCACCATGATGAAGAACATACTAGGCCACGCGGTGTACCAGCTCACCATCATCTTCACGCTGCTCTTTGTGGGTAGGTTGCCCCAGGGCACAGTGCGCTGTTGCCAGACCCGTGGGCTCCGACCCTGTCTGTCGGTGGAAGGGATAGCCGAGCATCTGGAGACCCGACCCGATTTTCAGTGAGGACCCCTTAGCCCTCACCTCCCTGCCGTCCCTTTGTGTGTGCCCCACTGAGGTGTCCCAGGCCCTGAGCAGCTGAGAAACTCCACTGCTCCATAGAGTTGGTGGGATGTCTCACCCTCCACCCAGACCCAGGTCACTCACCCATCCATCCACTTACTCCATGACTATTTCTCCAGGGGACAAGGAGCAGAGAGCTCAGCTGGCAGTTGTGGGAGAAGGAGGACCAGGAGAGAAAGGGGACAAGAGGAGGGAGAGGGGAGGGAGGAAGCAAGTAGGAGGAGGAGAGAGAGGGAGCGTAGAAGGAGGCAAGGCAGAGAAGGGAGGATAGAGAGGAGGAGGGAGAGGAGGAAAAGAGGAAGGGAGGAGAGAGAAAGAAGGAGGAGGGAGAGCAGAAGGGGAGAGGAGAAGAGGAGGGGGAGGGAGGGAAAGGAAGGGAGAGTGGAGGAGGGAAGGGAAAGAAGAGAAAGGCGGAGGCTGGGGGGTGAGAGGGCTCAGGAAGCAAGAAGGGGGCCAGGGCAGGGGAGGGAAGGCAGGGGCAGGAGACCCGACAGCAGAGGAAAGGAATGGTGGGGGAGGCTGGGCCAAGGGGGACAGAAAACCACAGGGCCCCCGGCCACAGCATGCGGAGATGTGGAGAACCGAGCCTTGCGGGTGGCGACTGTCGTCGGAGTTTTCTCCTGTGCCCAGCATCAGCTCCTGTGTTTACATGGGGAGGAGGGGGTTGTTACTTTGTTTGTGGCCTTTCTCCCTTAGGTCAGGGTGCTCTCCATGTGTCTAGCAACTCTTGACCATGTGGTGGTCCGGGTCACCGTGACTGTCCTCCAGGGCCTGGTGAGGCTCAGCTTTCAGCTCCTCTTCCTGGGAGCGGATTCAAAGCTCAGTGTGCAGGGACGGCATTTGCTGAGGGGCAGGAGTCACGGTGCGCGGCCCCCAAATATCAGTATCTGGTCTCTTGGGGGCAGAAGCCTCTCTTGCTCCATCCAAGGACCTAGCCCAGCTGTCCAGTGCCAGGGACAAGACAGAGGAGGGCCGGCCTGCCCTGTGCCCTGCAGCCTCTGATCGACTCCTCCCTAGCCCGCCCCTAACTCAACAGGCATGCAAGTGACCAGAGAGGCGCTCTGCGTCTGAGGCAAAGCACGTTCACAACACTCCGTCATAACTTCTTCATTCCTGCCCTCCGGGCTTCAGTGCCGGCCCCCCTGATCGAGCCCCTGGCCTTGGCTGTGAGCTTGCGTTTGCCACCCTGTAGGATGAGGGACTCATTCCTGTCCCCTCACAGTCATCTCACTGCAAAGTCAGGGCTGCGCACGGCCCCTAGCATTGCTTGGGGGACACCAGCCAGAGCTGCATCCCACTGGGCACCCTGCGCCCCTCACATGGCCCTTGGCTTGCAGGGGAGCTCTTCTTCGACATTGACAGTGGGAGGAACGCGCCCCTGCACTCGCCGCCCTCGGAGCACTACACCATCATCTTCAACACCTTCGTCATGATGCAGCTCTTCAACGAGGTCAACGCCCGCAAGATCCACGGCGAGCGCAACGTGTTCCACGGCATCTTCAGCAACCCCATCTTCTGCGCCATCGTCCTGGGCACCTTTGCAATTCAGGTAGGAGGGAAAAGGGAGGGAGCAGGAAGCCTTCCCGTCTCCATTCGCAGGGTCAGATCCGCCCCTCCCGGCATTCCCTGTGACGCACAGAGCAGGTCTTCTTCATCTTTAGAACACCTCAGCCTTGCCCTGGGTTCCAGAGGGGTCTAGTGGGACTTCCTCAGAACTGACCTTCCCACAGGGCCCTCCAGGCCTGCCACTCCCATTTCTTGATTCCTTGGTGGGAGGCCACTATAACTCCAGAAGGTTCCTTTGGAGATGCCCTCTGTCCCCAGTGCTGACACACCGGCCTCTGCCTGCCAAAGTGTTTTGGACAGGCTGGTCCGTCAGCAATCCAGGGGGCGCTGAGCATTCAAAAATAGAGTGTCTTGATTGAAAATGTGAGGCATAGTGAGGCCAACAGGCCAGGATAATTTGTTCTTCACAGTTCTTAGAGGAGGGGGCCCTCCACGCCATGAGTGACCACCCAGGGAAGCCCTGGGTTGGTCAGGAGGCAGAGGGAGAGCAGGGAACCGTGGGCAGCAAAGAGCCTTTATTGCGGTTTCCGGGGGAGAAAATTGTGAGGCGGGGTGAGCAGGCTGAGGACTCGCTAGTAGGAATCATTTCAGGGCTCTGGGCTGTAGAGCTGGCCCTGGTTGTCTGGGAACGGGCCCTGGGTGACTGGGGTGGAGGACAATGCCCTGGAGGGCCCTGGAGGGTGACAGCCCAGGAACGGAGGTGGTTGGGGTGTGGGCACTGGGTTGGTTAGTCTGTATTTCAGAAGCTCGGCCCTGGGAGGGAGGGGTTGATGAGGGAGCAGGAGGACCAGGCAAGATGACTTGTGTCTGTCATCAGGGTGTCCAGAACAAGGTGTGCCCAGCATTTGCATGCAGGGCAGATGTTAAAGCATTGAGTTCACAGAGCTGGAAATATGGCTAATCCACAGCTGGGGGAACCGATGGGCCCTGTGACTTTCTGACCAGGCCAGGCCTGCAGGGGGCCAAGCCTGCAGGGGGCTGGGCTGGCCCGGAGGGCAGGATGGGCCCTGAGGGCTAGAGGAGGAGGACGGGCTCAGGAGCTGTGCTGGGCTGGGCCCACTGCTGGACGTGCCTCCCTCATACCCGTCTTCCACAGATTGTCATCGTCCAGTTTGGCGGGAAGCCCTTCAGCTGCTCCCCCCTGTCCACGGAGCAGTGGCTCTGGTGCCTGTTTGTTGGCGTTGGGGAGCTGGTCTGGGGACAGGTAAGTGTCTGCCTTGTCAGCTTTCCCAGCACCCCCGTTTTGTCTGCTCTGCCACAGCCCCAGTGATGGGCACAATGACCGGGAAGGGTGGGCAGCCCAGGGCCCCCTGTCCGGCTCCCTGCTCTGGAGTCTCAGAGCCTGTGCCCAGGAAAGCCTGCGGCGTGCTCAGGTGGGCGGTGCCACACAGCAGGGCTCAGGCCTGGGACATGCCATGACCCAGGCACACGACCACAAGTGATAGTGCCAGCAGAGAGAACACAAAAGGCCATGGCTGAGATGTCACAGGACCCTGGCAAAGCCACCCTCCACTCCCCTTCCCATGATAGGAGCTGAAAATTGTCCCTTAAAACTGGGTGGCTGGGAAAATCCCCACATGTTTAGAACTAAACGACACCCTGCTAAATCCTCCAAGGGCAAGGAGAAAGTCTCAAGGGAACTGAGAAACTACTCTGAGCCGCTGGAAGATGCAAGTCGGACACCCCAAGCTCTGTGGGCTGCAGTGAGAGCCGGGCGCCGAGGGGAGTTCAGAGAGCCCAATGATTATGTTAGGAAGAAAGAAGCTGGGTGCTGGGGCAGGTCAGAGAACAGGAGGGGCAGCCCAGGCCACAGTTGCACAGCAGGCCTCTGAAAGCATTTCTCCAGAATTCTAGAACATTGGTGTAGAAGGCTGAGTCCAGGATCCACTTTGCCCTGTGTCTTAGTTGGCTCAGGCCGCCACAGCAAAATACCACAGATGAGCCGCTTCAACAACACGTGGTCTTCTCTCACAGCTCTGGAGGCTGCGAGTCTCAGATCAAGTGGACGTAGGGCGGGTCCGGGAGAGACCAGGCAGGAGCTTCCAGGTCCCCTGCCAGTGGAGTTGGGCGGCAGCACAGTTTCTCCCAGCAATGACGTGTGACAACATGCACAGAGTACTGCCACCACGGAAGCTCCCCTGGAGCCATGGTGTCCAGGGACTTTACTGGGGCTGGGTCCTGTAGGCCTAGAGCACCCGAGGGCCTGACCTCAGTTACTCAGTCTCCGCGCCCGGAGGTCAGGCTGCTGTGTGCGGCCCAAGGCCCCACCACAAATCACGCTGTCAGCATAGACTGCCTGGCAGGGCCCTAGGCCCTGGCAAACCAAGACCTTCTCAACAGGCAGGATGTGCCAGAGGCATAGAGGTCCCCTCTCAGGAGCCAGGAGTCAAGGCCAGAACCCTCTCTGGCAAGGCGAATCTCTTAGGGCACACACTATGCAGGAAGGTGCATTGGCTGCTCCTCCAGCCCTCTGGCCGGCACTCCGTGGAGGGGGAGCCATAGGCACGCACATCCCTGCCACCTCCCTGGGAAACCTTCTCAGCCCCCAGCGCCCTCCACTCCCGGCTCCCTGGGGACTGTTCTCGGTCTGCTCTCTGCTTAAACACTGAAAACAACACCCTCCAAAGGAAAGAGGCTGGTGTCTCCCTCTAGGGAGTGGGATTTGGCACCAAGCAAAGGCAGCGCAGCTATGCAGCCTCAGAGACCAGGAAGGGACATCCAGTCCCCAGGTCTGCCTGCAGGAAGAGGCATTTTGGAAACAGTGCACGATGCGGGGGGGGGGGGGGGGGGGGCGGTGCAGACACCAGTGTAAGCCTGTGTCAGAGGAAGTGGGGCAGCCTGGGTCCCTTCCCAGCCCCGGCAGAACTCCCGCTCTGAAAGGCCCAGCCCTGCTCTGATGGCCACCTCTGCTGGCTGTCCCTTGCCTCTGGCTCCCCAGGTCATTGCCACCATCCCCACCAGCCAGCTCAAGTGCCTGAAGGAAGCAGGGCATGGGCCCGGGAAGGATGAGATGGCTGACGAGGAGCTGGCCGAGGGGGAGGAAGAGATTGACCATGCTGAGCGCGAGCTCCGCCGAGGCCAGATCCTCTGGTTCCGGGGCCTCAACCGGATCCAGACACAGGTAAGCTGCCGTGCGAGCAAGCAAGAGGCAGAGAATGAGCGACATGAGCCCTAGACCAACAGGGAGACCTTTGGGTCTTGATGCCATGAGAGCATCACAAGGGCAGTTGCTGGTGTCCCTCTGCCATCCCCACAAGTGCCCTCTGGCGGTTGTGGTGCTGAGATGGCCTGTCCCCAGCCCCTCCCTCAGAGCCCAGATGGCCCTCCCTTCCTGCTGGGCACAGGTATCGGCTAAAGGTGTGTGCTGTGACCAGTGGCTGGCTCTCACGGGGCGTGGACCACCTGCTGTCTGTGTAGCTGCTGGAACTGCCCCTGGTCACCGGGAAGTGACATTCTGGGGATGAGATAGATACCCATTTCAAATAGCCTTTGGCGAGCTCACCGCTCACTGGGTTATCTGGTAAATTCTGTGGAAGATTTCATTTGGGAAGCGGACGCTGGCCACTGAGTTGGTCCTCTCTGTTCCTCCCAATCTCTACATATCAGAGCTGGTCAAGGCCAAGGCTGTCAGCTGAAGTCTTCTATGAAGTCAGACAGCCACCATGAGCACCCAGCCATGGGCACTTATGAAGGCTCCATGAGAGCCTGCCTGCCAGAGCCAACCCCGATCTCTGCCCCTAACCCTTCCCAGCCAGCTTTCTTGCCAGAATGTTCCATACTCGCTGTCTCTCCACATCCTTCCCTTGTACTCTCTCATGATCTCGTTGTGGCCTGGCCTCTGCCCTCGACGTCCCAGAGGCAGTTCTTGCCAAGGTCTGCGAGGACTCCTCCCAGCTCTGCGGGTCAGGTTGTCGCTCTGTCCTCCCTGCTTCTGAAAGCGCAGTTGGCCCTGCTCCCCCTGGCTGCTTGCTGTCCCCTCTCCCTCTTGCTCTCTGCTCCCAGTCCGCACTTGCCTGGCACCCCTGCCTCCCACTGAGACCTTGGTCTGCCCACTGTGGTTCCCGCGTGCTGAAAAGACCCTGGCCCCAGGGGCACTGCGCCTAGTCGGGAAGGCAGGAGGGGCAACGTTCAGTCCCATTGGGTCACCAGGCCCCTCTCAGCTGCAGCCCCCTTCGTCAGCTTCTCCTTCAGCCCTTGCCCACCTGCCCCACTGGGCCCTGGAAACACTGGTCTCTTCTTGGCCTCTTCCCCACGGCCTGCCCCACCCGTCACAGCCTCCAGATCGCAACCCGAAGACCCTCACTCACCACCTCGTCATCCTTCCAGCCAGGAACCCGAGAGTGCCACACCCACACCAAGATGCCCCTCAGCACCCACACTGGGCTTGGCCCAGACCATAGGCTCCGCTGCCCCAAGCCTACCTCCTCCAGCCCCCCGGCTCCTGAGCAATGGCTCCGTCACCTCCACTGCCCAAGCCAGAGCCCCAGAGCCATCCTGGACCCTCTTCCTGTCTGTTCCACACCTGGTGCATGGGCGTGGCCCACTGGCTTGGCTCTTCCCCCTGAAATGCACGTCCCCAATTCAGCCACCCCCTGCCCCCTATTCTCTAGGCCCAGCTACCAGCATCTCTGCCTGGATTGAGGCTCCCTGCTGCCACCCTGGCCCCCTGCAACCTTATCTCAGCATAGCACCCAGTGACACCTATTACTCCCTGCTCCTCCTGGGCCTCCCACCGGCCCACCTCTGGCCTTTCTCCATACTCTGTCCAGGACGCCCAGCCTCACTGTCCCTGACCTTAGCTCCAATTGCTTCTCCTCCTGAGGGTCCCACGAGAGGGAAGGACACCACTATGCACATGGCCAGGCCCTTCTGCGGAGTCTGTTTAAGCAACTTCCTGCTGTGGGCCCCTTGGCCTGAGGCAGGACCTGAGACCGCACCTCTCCCCAATGTCTGCCTCCAGCCTGTCACACGTAGCCACAGGCTTGTCCCAAAGAATCTTCCTTGCAATGCATCCAAAGTGCATTGGGGCAGCCTGCGCCCCAGGTCCCATGCTCCCTCTGGATGCGTATGGCTTGCCAGCTGCTCCCACACAACCCCTGGGGGTCTCATGGGGCCCAGCCTCACAGGATGCCTTCTCTCCTCCCCGGGCCCCAGCCCCAGCTCCAGCACGAGCTCCCAACCTCCCTCCTGCTCTGCCAGCCTTTGCTCCGCCGGCCCCTGCAAGGCCACCCTCCACACTGTGGCCATGCAGACTCTCTCCCTGTCCTAAGGGTGAAGTTCAGGGTCCTGACCGTGACCTTCAAGCCCTTGGCTCTTGGTGTCACCCCACATGCCCTGCAACCCTGTAACCCCTGCTGCCTTTCCAGACATGCACTCTACATCCCCGTGTCACTGTACCTCCATACAGGCCGCTATCTGGGCCCCAGGCCTCCCCAGCTCCCGCTGTGTCCCCTCGGGGCCCCTCCTCGTCCTGCAGCAGCCTACTCAAAGGCTGCCACCTTGTGAAGCCTCCTCAGAGTCCAGTCCCTCTGGCCACCGTTGGCCCTCATGCGCCCACAGCACACACTTACAGCAGTTACTTCTCCACACGGCCATCTGTGCTCTCCACCCAGGGCGCTGGGACCAGTGAGGAGCAGAATGCCCCAGGGAACTTTCCAAAGCTACCATGCCCTGGGCTGCCCCCAAAGCTCAGGATCCTGTAGGGCTGGGTGAGATGGCACCAAAGAACTCCACGATTAATGAGCTCCCCTAGGGTCCAAGGGGCTTCTCCAGGAGAGAACCAGGCCAGGTCTCTGGCTCATCCCTCTTGGCGTCCCGAGCCTCTGAGTCAGTGTGGCCAGGGAAGAATGTCCTGCTGGCCCGACACCGAGCGCCCGCCAGAAGAACGGGAGTAGCTTCTGTAGCCAGATGTCCAGGTCACCCCCGTGCCTCCCGGCCGCTCAGCTGTGAGCCCTCAGCCACCCTGTGCTGGCCCTGGTTCTGCTGCGAGTCAGCCCATTTCACTTCCATCAACGAGCCTAAGGCGGCACTGGCTTTTCCAGCAGCTGAGACAGCAGCCCTGCCCCGATCGGAGGTATCTGGCGGGAGGTCAGTGGTGCCTCGGCCACCTGTGTGTCTGTCTTCTGTGTGCCCGTGGGCTCTCAGGCCTGCCACTGCTGCCTGGCTAGTAGAGCGGGTCCCCTCAGTTGGAGTCTTGGAGTCCAGGCTATTCTGTCAGTGCCCATGTAGACCGGCCGATCAGGGGCCCAGAAGGAAGGGACTCGCCCAAGGTCACTCAGTGACAGCGTGAGCTAGCCAGGGCGCAAGTCTCCCCCCCCCACCGACCCCTAGTGCACTCCCCGTCTGCTCCGTAGAGACCTCCATCCCTCCACAGCGTCTTGGCTTTACCACGTTGGATTCACCGTGCTCCTCAAGGACGCTGAGCCAGTCGGCCACTTTAGCTCACTTTTTAAGAGCATCTTTCTTTTTGATTCAGAATATCTACTTGAAAAACAGAAATAAAACCCAGGAGAAATAAAGCCCCCAGGTAGCATGTCCACCTCAAGCCAAGAGAAATATTCTTTAGGCAGCTGGCCCTAGATTTCTGGATTTTGTGAAGCACAAAATTCCTCCCCAGATTTTAGAGGCCAACACAGCTTTTTAAGTTGCTAAGTGAAGGCATTTCGTAACCTGCTACCTGCTCTCACCGTCATTCCATACTAACGTATTAATGCACCAGACACTTAGGGTGTCATTCCAGAACAAAAGAGAGTCCTGGAAACCCAGAACATAGAGCTTTCAGAAGCACTCATGACGTGGTCTATTTCGCATTCTATTTATTATAGACCAATGAGAAGCTTCAGCAGCAAGTGGGCTTCTGGGGCATGGGGTTGGGGGGAGACGACAATTTTGTGGTATTTTGACTGATGCCGTCATCCCATTGGGACACCCGTGGAGAGACCAAATCAGAGGCAGGAAAGGCGTCTTTCCCTTCCCTCGTCACCTTTGCCACAGTAAGAGTCCCCTCTTAAGACAGACCTGTGTCCACAGCCTTGGGAGTGTCTCCTTAATCTAGGGAGGAGATGTCCCCCAAGGAGACGGTGGCATCATGGCAGGGGTCATCTTCCTTCAGTGCTGTGGAGTGCACTTGGCACTGTGCCAGCCCCCAAGGGTGCTCGGTGCACCTTGCTCACGGGATACACTGGGAGAAGGGACTGGGTGGCCGAGTACACCTGATGTCTTTTCCACAACGCATCCAGGGGTTGAAATGACTGACATCTTCATTTTGGTTGGGGTCAGGGGAATCCGAGCACTCCAGCTGCCTTCCTTCAAGAAGCCTGGCCCTGGGTCAGATACCCTGCTGACCCTGCTGGCCACCACAGGGCTCCCGGGTGAGGTGGGGCCCCTTGCCATGGCCCAGAGCAGGGAGCCGGTGTGCTCCGGGCTCCAGAAATGCATACTTGCTTTGCTGCCCACATCATCCAGTGAACTGTATGGCACTTTCCAGAAATAGATCCACCTTCTGAGGCCAGAGATTCCCCCCTCCCACTGAGGGCATTCCCTCAGAGGCGGCCAAAGGTGCCCCATGCTGGGCTGGCCTCCCAGAATCTAGGCACATGGCCTCCCGATGGGGAGACCCGCTGTGGCCACTTGGCCACAGCCCTCTCCTGCCCAGGTCTGACCTGCCCTAGACCCCCTGCCGGTCAAAGGCAGGGTCAGGAAGTCCAAAGACACTGAGACGCTTAGCGAGTTCACCCACCTGGGGCTCATGTCTCTTTTGGCTCCTAGGAAGCTTAAAGGGTGGGGGACAAAGCAAAAGCCATCTCTGCTCCCCAGACCATCCAGGCTCTCTGCTCTCCCTCCAGCCATGCCTGTGGCTCTGTGGGAAGGAGTTCTAATAAGAAAAAACAGGTGCTTCCGGAAAACCCTCTCCCCCTCTTTTTAAATCCATTCTTCCGCTGAAGCTTCCCACGGGGAGCCCCCTCATTCGCTGATTGGACGAGCTGAGCCACAGAGGAGAGTGATGGCCGCACCTCCCAGCAGGGCACTAGATGTCCCCCCACCACTTAGAGCAGTGTAAAGGAAGGCCGGCCCAGGGAGTCCCCTGGCCATGGTCCCCATGCCATTGAGGAGCGCTACCACAGGGAGCCTGGTTTCTAATGGGAGCATATCACATCCCTCAGGTGTGTTGGGGCGGAAAAAAAGGTTGAGAACTACTGACCTAGGATAACAAAGTATTGCCAGACAAAGGTATTTATTGACGAGTGGCTTGCAATGAGCATATCGTGAATGCAAATAACTCTTTCTAAAACGTTTGTAGTGTGTCCCGATTGTTAACCCCGCCCTCCCAGTCTTCTGAGTGCTAATCATTTGCTCAGCAAACCCTCTTAGTGGATGAAGCAGAGGCTGGCCTCGGCCATGGCCCTATCAGCAGCACCGTCAGCTCCCAGGGAGCGGGGTGACTCAGATGAGGCTTTGCTGTCACGATATGTGCCCAGTGTGGCCCCTGTCCTCGCCCAGCCCCACCCCCGTGCGGTAGCCCGGACAACAGTGCAAGCCAAACTTTATCTCATTTTCTCTCCCACAGATGGAGGTAGTGAGTACCTTCAAGAGAAGCGGTTCATTTCAGGGTGCTGTGCGCCGGCGGTCTTCGGTCCTCAGCCAGCTCCATGACGTAACCAATCTTTCTACCCCTACTCACCTAATTCTCTCTGCTGCCAATCCCGCCAGTGCCGCTGGGAGTGAGTCTTGAGTCCCCTTTTCTCTCATAAATGGCATCTCTGGGGGAGAAAAAGTCTCCCACCTCTTCTCTTTTTTCCAGTCTTGCATCCTCCGCTCACCGTGGCTTTTCCGTTCTTTCTTTATCGCCCTGTCCAGTCCTTCCCGCCCAGATGGTGTCTCTCCAAAGCCATATTCTCTTATGAAATGTATTGAACCCATGGCACTGCTGGACCTTCTGTTCTTTTCTTTGTTTGATTTTTTGGTTTTCATTTAGTGCTCCTTCTGTCATTGGTTTTCTTTTCTTGAACTTGTCTGCCTTCGCTGATAGTTCTTCATGAACTTGGGCCACTTCTGGTGGCGTCTGGTGTCAGGGTGGGGCCTTGGTCGGTGTCCTGTGGGGCTGTGAAAGGGATGCATGCAGGCTCAGGGCCACCTTCTGGGGCTGGAGCGGGAAGCAAGTGCCTTTTTGGCATCATTTGCAGGGGAAGAATCCAGCCCACCTACTTGGGATTAAAGTGGCAGCTTCCAGAACTCTCCTTGAAGTGGTTTCCAAAAGCAGTAGACCTGATGTGAGCTTCAGGAGGCTGCTATCACATGTCCCCAGGTGGGCTCGGTGGTGGCCAGCTGCTCCTGCTCAGGTGCTGCCTGCCCTGTAGGCCCTTGCCCTGAGCCACCGGCTGTTAGTGGTGTCTGAGGTGTCCCTCAACTGGAGCCCTCCTCACGCCCCAAGCCTGCGCTCTGCTCCGTTTCCATTTGTTCCCAAAGCACCTTCGCTCTTTCCAAACAGGCCGGGATTGGAAGGTCTTAACCCCATCTGGTCAACACTCTTTCTCCTCTTTCCTCCGAGGAGAAGCCGGGAGAAATCAATCCCCTTCTTTACATTCCAATGGAACGTTCCCGCCATGTCGGTCACATTTTAAAGAGAACCCAGGGCCTGTCCTGAAGAGGGAGAAACGTCCATAATTTCTCACATCTTTTTACAAAGACAAAGGGAAAGCCACTAGACCATTGAAGCTGCCACCCACGGCTCCCCCAACGAGAGAGAGCACAGCAAACCGTGTGAGCCCCCTGCCCTGCCCACCCCCCTCCAGGGCTGCCTGCTTCTCAGAACAGACTCGAGATTTCAAAAACCGAACAGTAAACCTTCCAGTAGGAGCCCAGAGCCCCTGCCGGGATGGGCTGATGCTGCCTCCTGCCTTTCCTTCCAGTGACCCGGCTGCTCTCACCCCCGGGAGCACAGCCCTCCCGCAGACAGGATGTGACCTGCGCCTTGCCCCTCAGATTCTGGGATTGGGGTTTTGCTCAATTTCTTCTCTTTTCCTTTTTTTTTTCCTTTTTTGTCTTTTCTTTTTTGTCTTTTCTTCTTTTTTTTTTTTAGGAACTGGTGAGAGGTCCCCCATGGGGGCCATCCCTCCTCTTGCTTAAGCTGTCATTTCAGGCCACTCTGCCCTTTAAGGAAGGGATGTGGGCCGCACCCGTCCCCACCGGGCCACCTTGTCCCCTTCGGAAACAACGTGTGTGTGTGCGCGTGTGTGCGCACGCGTGCACACACACGCACACACACCCCTCCTCCAAACCACACCTCCAGCTCCCTTACACACTCACTGGGCCGCCCACCTGGGCCACAGATATTGCCCGACAGCTGTCACAGGTGGGTTGGAAAGCTCTGGCCTTGTCCCAGAGGGGCCTTGCCACAACTCCACCCAGAGAGGTCTGCAGACGGCTCGCCAGTCAGTTAAGGACAGAATTGGTGCGTGTCCTCCCAGGTGCGCCTTGGCCAGGACCCGGCTGGGCAGCAGCACCTTCCTTTCTGGGAACAAAGGGACAAGAGAGGGCATGAGTCTGCTCAAGGGGCATGCACTGACCTGCTCCTGTCCCTGCCTCCCCCTTGACTTCCTCCACGTGTTTCTTTACCATCTCTCTCTGCTCTTTCTGTCTGTCTGTCTGTCCATCTGCCTGACTGTTGACTTGGGGTGAAGGCAGCCAACAAGGTCCCCACACTGCATGCCCCTCAGCCTTCTCCACAGCTCTGGCCTTGTTCCGCTCTGGGGCCAGCCTGGGCCTCCCCTCCACGCTCCTGGGTGAGGCCTGCAGTCTCTTGGCTCCCTCTGGATTCCTTGGGCTTCTTCCCTTTCTCTCTCCTCTCTTCCTTGGCTTCTAGCACCTTCCTTCCCTCCTTCTACAGCCGTGTGTCCCTCACCCCCTTCCCACTTCTGGGAGCCCAGCAGTGCCTGGTAAGAACAGTGGGAGAGATGCCACTCCTCCCACTGGTCACTAGCCACTCCTGACTAGTGTCTTGCCAGAAGAAGGGCCACTGTCCCTTTCCACACCACATGCTGCTGGGCAAGGAGCAGTTGGCAGGGCCCCGGTGAGAGCTGAGGACCTTCTGTCTGAGGAGGGCACTGGTGTGACAGCAAGGGGATCCTGATGTCCCAACTCACAAGGGCCAGGGCCCCGCTGTGGAGGAAGATGCTGGTTGGAGGATCAGGCGACACCGGGGGACATGCCTGCTTTCTGAAGCTGCCGACCAAAAGCGCTTTCTGCCAGCATCACCGCACCATGTGGCAGATTGGTTTGGAACTCTGAACCGGCCCCCAGTCTGAGCTGCGAAGACCCTGAGAAATCACCAAGCCAGCACCCTCATCCTACAAATCAGGGGAAGGCCTAGCAGAGAGAGGCTAGCCCCAGGCCCTCACCCTCTCTTGGAACTTGTCAGAAGGAAGGCGAGGGGCAGGTGGTGACAGAGCTCCCAGCCTTGCCAAGAGGCAGTATCGTGTGAGGTGCAGTGCTCATAGGCTCTCAGGGGGAGGTTCCTATCCTCCTCGCCCACTGCCCAGCCAGCCTGCCCCTTGTCCCCGGTGTGGGGGCAGGTCTCTCCAGCACATCAGGGCCTCTGGTCCAATATCACTTCCACCGAGAACCTCAGGCTCTCCAGGTGGAAGGTCCAGTGCGGGGTGTGGACAGGAGCCTGAGGGCCAGAGTGATCGGTGACGTTGCTCACCAACACAGGCCCTGGCACGTAGTACCAATGCAAAAAGTGGCCGGAGAATGTCCTCGGTGCCAGAGGGAAAGGAGAGCCCCCAGAGGGGTGATGGGAGGTTAGAGATGCAGTGACCCTTGGGGCTCAGTGCACCTACATTCACATCCACTCCTGCTTTGTAGCCGGCCCCTGACGCCCTCCTGCATGTGTGCATGCACCTCTGCTGCTTCTGGATTTGCAAGTCCCAATACGGTCCCCACTCCCTCAGTCGTACGCAACGACCTCTCAACTCCAGGATGGCCTTGGCTGCCTCCTTCCCGCTCACTCAGCCATTTCTCCTCTCTGCCTGGCCTGGCGGCCACCCCCCCGCCCCCCCATCCCAATCATTTCATTCTCGGCCTTGGGGGTAGCACCTTCCCCTTCAAGCCACCACCTCATTTCACGGGACCTCAGCTGAGGCCTTGAGGCCGGCCCATCTGAGTGGCTCAGGAAAGAGCATTCTTTAACAACCACTTTTAGTCAATCCCCTGTTGGCATGTCAGTCACCGCTGTTCCTGCCCGAATCACACTGACACACTAATGCTGCTGGGAGCTCAGCATCGCTCCCCCAGCTGGCTGTCAAGATCCCCAAGGTGTGGCTGGAGATGGGGTTCACTTGGGTTGACTAACTAGAAGCAGGGAGCTGGATGGCTGCCTCCAGCTGTGAGCAGGGACACACAGATACACCCCAGCCCCTCCCCAGCCACACACTCAAAGCCTGTTTGCCAGCAGCTAGCCTCAATGGCCCTCCAGCAGCAACGCTGGGCCTCTGTACTCAAATCTTTACTGTTGCAGTGGTTCGTGAGAGGGCTCCTGACCCAGCCTGGCAAAAGGGGCAGGGGCGGGCAGTGGGTTTGGTCAAGTGTGGCCAGAAGGGCTCCCTCTGGGCTGGTGAGTTCTGATTAACTGTGCTGGAAAGAGATCAGGGCAGTTGCTTTATTTTAATTGGCTTTTGCAACATGAAAACCTTCTGTCCAACTTGGCAAAGCCAGGCCAGGTGAGCCCCCACGATTTTCTTGGCCACACCCTCTGGAGCCCAGGGAGACATGCAGCTGCCATCATTAAGGCAGCCCCGCAGAGGAAGGAGCCCTGCAAAGTGAAGGCATCTTGTTTGCTTCTTTCTCAGGAAGTTCATTGATTTTGAGCCGAGTCTCCCCACTTGGGTTTCTGGGAATAGTGTATTGGCATTTTCTCTTGGCTATTGGACAGTGTGCACACTGTCTCCGCACTAGGAAGAGTATCAGCCCTGCCCTGCCTGAGCATTCCTGCACCCACGGGCCCTACCGCGGGAAAGGACCTTCCAGGTGATTCCTAAAGCACATGCCAGCTCGCAGGCTAGGGCCAACCCCAGAACCCCTGCTCCAAGCCCTCCCCGGTAGGCACTTCCCAGCTGACTCCCAGAGCTGGGAGCCAGCCCCCAGGGAGCTCAGGAGACTTACTGGAGGTCCTGCAGCTGGATACTCTCTGTGCGTGGGTCAGCTCAGTGTGATGTCTGGGCTTTCTGAGTCCCGGGCACACATGCATGCATACAGGACAGGAGGTAACTTTCACAAAACTCACCAGCCATTAGCACTTTTGGCTTGCCAACGTACACAAAGCCATGTCTTTAGTTTGGTTTGCGGCTCAATCACTCAGTGAAAAGGCCAACTCTGGAATTTGCATGATTGTGTTTCCTGATTCCCTGGTGAGGAAAGGGAGCCTTCTGCGTGCTGCCCCCTCGTTGTGGGTATGGTGGCCCACACCTCTTTGTGTTGCTTTCAAGTCATGATTCACCCTCACGTCTACAGGGAGGATTTGGGGCCTGGGAACCCCAAAGTTCCCAGCAAGCAGTTCCTATGGCTCTCCACGGCTGCTGCGTCCAGAATTTGCTCTAAATCCAAAGCCCGTATGCCAGGGGAACTGACAGGTCCCTTCCTCTCTCAGAGGGTCTGGAT